ACACATAATTAATTTAAAAGGTTCATGTGAAGTGAAGAAAATGGAGTTTTTTTTAAGAAGAAAACAGGGGAAGTTTAAATGGGCACTTCTCTGAAGTAAGAATAATTAAAAGAAGGCGACCCCCAGAAATCAGTTCTTGAACCAGCCTTATTGATATAACACTGTGGTTAGGAGCCCTGGACGTTGTGGTAGAATGCTCAGCTCTGCCACCGCCAGCTCTGAGACCAGGGAAAATGATCTGACTTCTCTGTGCCTTAGTGTCCTCCTAGAGTTGCTATGAGAATTAAATAAAAGAAAGTCAAATGCTAAGCACACTGTCTATTCCATAATAAATGCACCGTACAAGGTAAAATATCTTCTTCCACCATGATGATCATCTTCATCATGAGCACCAGCATCTTAAAGGGGTATGAAGAAAAGGACTACACAATGAGATTTCCAACATTGCAGGTGATAAGAGCTAAGTTTGGGGGAATAGACCATAGAAAGGGAAGAGCCAGTGCAAGTGAATTTTGATTCAGGCAAGTACAAAATAAAACATTTGGAGGGAAGGAGCTAAAGTGTTCTCAGCACATAAATACTGAGGAGGACCCACAAAATGGGAGGAGCCTGTGGAGAGGGCTCCCTGAGAATAGAGGCCATGGCAGCTGCTAAACCAGTCCCACTGCCTCCTTCCTTTCTAAGTCTGTTAGCTCCTTCTCTGATTTCCCTTATGGCTGTGGCTCTAGAGTAGACAATTGTGAGACTAGAAATGTTGCCAGTGTATCTCTCAAAGAGGTCACCATGTATCCTAACACTCCAATTAATTCAGGAGAGTGAGGGAGATAGGGGCGCTGGAGCCAAGAGGGGAACTGAGTGGGCCAGGAGCCAAGCTGGAGCTAATTGAGTGGAAGGAGAAAGCAAACTAGCTTGATTGAAAGCTGAATGCCCTGGGAGCACCTTGTGTTCTATCTTTCATTCATTTGGTTCAGGTCCTAGTTTCCACCCTGAACAAATTCTTCCAGGTTTCTTTTCCAAATGGAGTTAAATCACCAAATTAATTCCCCGTGCAAGTTTTTCTTTTCATAATCTTGTCACCTTATTAGCAAACTAGCCCATGCCCCATGTTATGAGAGAAACCAGAGAAAAACATCTGGGTCTAGGATTGTCATGAAGCTCTTTTCATGCCAGAAGGTTTATTTTGAAGGGCAGTGAGGACTTGAGCAGACTGGAAGGACAGACAAGAGCATTTCAGGGCTATTGGACCAGGGAAGGTGCCTGGAGAGGGCAGAGCGAACTCTCAGGATCAGCAAGCAAACCAGCTGACTGGTTCACGTAACAGAAGAGCATGCCATGAGGCCGGAAAGCTAGGTTTGCTCATTAGTAGGTAAGCTTCTGGGTTGAAAACAAAGTTTTTTCTTAAAAAAACAAAATGAGTCTCTACTATGTGTCAGCCATGTACCCAGAAAGAAGGTGGAGTGGGGGAACCCAATGAAAGAACATTCCTTGAGGAAAAAGAAAATAATTTAAACTCCAGCAACCATTAGAAATGCACAAATCAGACTGTGTCAAAGCTCTGGGCCTCAGTGCTTGGGGAGAATGGGAAGAGAGTCAGACACAGAGAATAAAGAGCATGTAGATGCAGGGAGGGAGCCTTAGGATAGGCTGTTCTGTTAAGGATTCCCTTGAAATTCTCATTCTTCAGGCTTCAGAACAGACTTGGGCCCTACAGCTTAATGATGTCAGGTGGTGAGGGTGGAGGACAGTAGGGGAGCAGTAGGAAAGAATGTGGAAACGTTGGATATAGATCCTGGACATATTCACATTTGGTTTAGATTCAAATTCCCAAGATACCAGACCTCTGAGCCTTACCCTCTCAACTAAATCACCTCGACTTTACTCTGCTCCTCCTCACAGGACCCTCAGCACTTTCCACTCCACTGATTCCTGGCCTTGGGACCCCTCGGGGATCTTCCTGGTGCAGACAGACCCTTCATAGATTCAGTTTCATGGAAAGAAAACAAAAACCAAAATTGAAAAAAGGCGGGCTCTTCTTGCATGCCTGATGTCTTAGTTTTATTCTAATTTCTCTTAGTTTGTAGGCAGGGAAATGGAATGAAAATTTTGTTTGGGCTATTTTCCAAATATTATCTGATAAAGGACTTTTATCCAGCATATATTAAGAACTCTTACAAATCTATAATCAAAAGATAATTAACGTACTGTTTGAAAAATGGGTAAAAGACTTAAAAGACATTTTACAAAAGTAGATACAGATGGCCAATAAGCATATGAAAGTGTGCTCACCATCATTAGTCATCCTAAAATCATAATCAGATATCACTGCACACCCACTAGGATGACGAAATTTAAATAGACTGATAATACCAAATGATGGCGAGGATGGAGAGCAACTGGAACTTTCATACTTTCCTATTGGGAATGTTCAACATACACCTACCCTATGACCCTACAATGGCACACCTAGGTAACTCTCGAGAGAAATGAAAACCTATGTCCAGAGAAAGACTTATATAAGGACTTTCAATCAGCCATATTCATTGTAGCCAAACACTGGAAACAACTCGAGAGTTCATCAGCCAGAGAATGGATAAACAGATTGTGGTATATCTATACAATGGAATACTACTCAGCAGTAGCAAGGAATGAACTACTGATACACACAACATGGAGGAATCTTAAATACAACATGTTGCACACAAGAAGCCAGACATAAAAGAGTACATACTGTATGATTTCAATCTTATGAAATCCAAGAATAGGCTAAACTACATTTGTGATGATAGAAATCAGAAAGTGGTACCTGAGGCAGGGGTCGGGGTCAGGGGAGTGGGCAGGAACTGACTGAAAAGGGGCACAAGTAGACTCCCAGCGGTGATGGAAAGGTCCATATTGTGTTTTTGGTGACAGCTACATGGGTGTATAAAATTGTCAAAACTCATGGAACCGAATGCTTAAAATATGTGTATCTTGGGGCCAGCCCAGTGGCCTAGTGGTTAAGTTCGCACACTCCACTTTGGCGGCCCAGCCTAGCAGGTTCGAATCCCAGGTACAGATTGATGCACCACTCATCAAGCCATGCTGTGGCGGCATCCCATATACAAAGTAGAGGAAGATGGGCACAGATGGAGCTCAGAGCCAGTCTTCCTCACACACACAAAAAATATATGTATCTTATTGTATGTAAATTATACTTCAATTTTTTTTTTAAATACAGGAGGAAAAATGTATTTATAGGCCTCATCTATACAGGCCTATTCATCCTATAACTTCTCTCTTAAAATTACAGATCAGTTCTCTCTCTTATTCTTCTCAGTATAACTTCTTTCTGTAGTTAGAGAATGAAGTGCTTTTCAAAGATGGGATACAACATAAGCCTGTTTTGCCTGCCAACCTGCTGGTTCCCAGACCCCAGGGACTCCCCACAATAAGGATACTAGGTTTTCCTGCTGAGCTTAGTGGATCCCTTAGTTGATCTGAAAAGATGTGGGGGCAGGAGTTGGGAACCCAGGACAGTGAAGGTGGTATTTTTACAGTTCAAAGAGCAACTACACTTTCAGTGAAGAAAGCTCTTACTGTTAGACAAGAAATGGAATCCCGTGCCCCTGATAGCAGCCCCTCATGCTGCACTGCTTGCCTTTCCCATCCCGGTCTGTATGGCCCCAGCACGGGACGTAAGAGTGCCAGCTCCCAGCTACCTCCAACTGGTCTTCTCCTTCCCTGTGTCCCTGATGCTCCTGGAGCAGCCACGGTTGGTAACTGGGAAGGTTGTGCCACGTGTCAGCTGGGATGAGGCCCAGCATGATGAAAATCACTAAGCTGGGGTTCTGGCATCTGTGCTTAGGCTGCCTGGGCCACACTGCGACTGTTTGATCTCAGGTGAGGCTTTCATTTCCTCTTCTCGGAAAAGAGGGTGACAGTCCCTGTGCCATTGTCTTCATGGGCTGCCATGGGAGCAGCATGAGATAATGGACCTGAAAACTACATCAGAAAAGTTTTCATTTGATTCGTATATCAGATGAAGTTATCATCCAGCTCTGTACTTCTGAGTTCCTACTCTGTGAATGATGGCAGTGGTGGTAAGTGTAGGATTCAGTCTCTATGTGCAATCACATATTTGAGAGGAGACTAGGGGAAGTCACATGAGTGAAGGTGTAGAGCAATGAGCACCTAACAAATTCACATTAGGACAAAGTTTCCATTCATTACATGCTTGAGTCTTCATTAGAACCATTAACGCCTTTCAATAGAGTATAATCTGCGTGGGTTTCTAGAGGTATGCTGTACATTTACACCTTGTCTAGTCACCATTTCCAGGTGTTCGCCTTGGTAGTAGGGGGAGAGAATCCCACCCAGTAGAACACAGGAACCAGATCAGGACCCCGGGATTTGCTGTACGCCAGCTCCGATTGTGTAACCTCAGGCCATTCACCAGACTTCTCCAGCCCTCAGTTTCTATTTCTTCAAAAGAGTTAGACTCAATACTTAATTGCTGGCACCTGTCCCATGATGAGATGTTTTTAGGGTAGCAGTTGTGGTGTGGTGGACAAAGTCTGCAGTAGAAGTCTGAGCTGTGTACTCAGGTCTCCCCTCGAGAGCAGAGTGAACTCTAGGCAAACCATTCCATCTTTCTGGGTGAGCGTCAGCATCCTCTTCTGTAAGATGGACCTGGAGATCTCCATGCTGCCTTTGTCTCCAGGTCATTGTGGGGGGCAAATGGGATGGAGTATGCAAAAACTTTATAAACCATAATTCTTCATATAAAGATTTGCTGCTGTTCCTTTGCTGTAGCTGTAGACATTGAAACACACGGGGAACACTTTTAAAGGCATGCCTACATGAGGGCATGGCAGTGTTGGTTGAATGTAGTCTAGAGGTCAGAGATGCAAAGCAGAGGCTAATCTGTGAGTTGGGTTAGTTAACAAGGCTTGGAATTGGTGAGCTTCAACTTAGCAGTCTCTTATGGCCCAGTGAGCCTGTACTGATGGTGTCCCTCACAGGTGACAGCAGAGCTAGACGCCTGGAATGAGGACTTGCTTCGGCAGATGAATGACTTCAACACAGAAGATCTGACGCTGGCAGAGCAGCGGCTGCAGCGCCACACGGAGCGGAAGCTAGCCATGAACAACATGACCTTCGAGGTCATCCAGCAGGGCCAGGATCTGCACCAGTACATCATGGAGGTCCAGGCCTCAGGTAGGCAACCTGTCCCATCCTTGTTTTCTGGGCAGGAAGAAGATGAAAACAAGAACACCAGCTTGACTCTAATGAGCACTTCCACTCTGTTCATTCGTATTATTCCTACAGATACAGATTTTTGCCCCTATTTTAAAGAAAAAGAAACTAAAGCATGAGAGCTGAAGTAACTTGTCTGAGGTTGCCCAGTCAGGCTGTGGTAAAGATGGGAATAGGGCCAGGGTCTCCTGGTGCTATGGAGAGAATGGGAAAAAGCAGTGATGGAAATTAGCACAGATTCCAAAAAATGGTGGCCTGGAACAACAAACCAGGTGGTCTCCAAGAGCAGTCAGCCATCCATGTGAGTTGATTAAAATGTGTAGATTCCTACTATTCCCCCCCTCATCCCCCTACACACACTCTCCTGCCCAGCCCACTTCCTCCACCCCAGGGCTGGCCCTTGTCTCCAGTTCATGCCTCTCAGAGTCCTCAGTTTTTTATCACTGGTCTGTGCATGAGCGTAAGAAGTGTTGATAAAAATTTATAGCAAGATCATATAATTTTATAACTTCTCAAAAACACATGGCTGAGTCACCCAGATTTGACTTCTTTTCCTGCTCAGGATTTATTCACTAGGTAGTTATCCAAAAAATGCAGGGGCCCTTCTTTTTATACCTACCACTCTCCAAAATGGCCTTTGATGGTCGAACTGGAGAGAGTCATAGCAGTCCCTAGTCCAACTGGCCCAGGAAAAAGAAGTCACTCACCTGGGCACAGGCCAGTGGAATGCTGGAACCCAGGTGTCTACACCCAAACCCACCCATTGCCCTCCTCCTGGGTCCTCATTGGCTCAGGTTCCTCACCCTCCAGGAGGAGGCAGACAGGGGCTCAGGCCATCAACTCTTTAAAACACCGTTGGCCCATGTCCCTGTTGATCATGAAGGATATTCAGAATCACGAGATTGTCAGGGGGACCTTAGCAATCAAACTTAATTTTAGGGTACTCTGTTTCTTTTAATAATCTGAAGGAGTAAATACCAGCATTCAAAGGAACTTCACTTCTAACCAGAGGAGAGACCACCTATTAAATTCTGTTCACTTTGATCAGCATAATCTTTCTTTGAATTTTCATTTGTGTTGTGAACAGGCTGCAGCTGCCTATGAGACCCAGGCCTGTTTATGGGAGTGCGGACCGTGCCCCACACAGCCCCAGGAAGGGCTGTTCACATTGCAGTCTATCTTGGGACTGTCTTAAATATGACAATGCCCAGACCTCATGCCCAGATCTTCTGATTTAGCTATCTCTAAATGGGACTTGGGCATCAGCAAAAAGCTCCTCAGATGATTCCACTGTGCGGCCAGGGCTGAGAACACTGCTTTTCCTCATGATGGTTAAATCACAGCAGCTGATATCTATGGCGTGCCCTCGGACAGTGACCCCCAAATGTAGTTCCCAGACCAGCAGCATCAGCATTACCTGAGAACTTGTAAGAAATGCAAGTTCAAGGGCCCATCCCTAGACTCTGCCACATCAGAATCTCTTAGGGTCAGGCCCAATAATCGGTGTTTCAAAGCCCTCCAGGTGATTCTGATGCACCACTAATGTAGGACCACTGATCTAGGACCTTGCTACTCAAAGTGTGGGCCCTGGACCAACAGCACTGGCATCACCTGAGAGCTGATTAGAAATGCAGAATACCAGGCCTCATCCCAGACTTATGAATCTGAATCTGCATGTTAACAAAATCTCCAGGTAAATCATGTGCACATTAAAGTTTGAGAAGTGGCGTTCTAGGCCATGGCCTCCCCTTTTAAAGGCCTTATTAGGGAAGAGGGGAACTGTGATCCTTTCTCTGTGTTTGAGCACCTTACCTGGACTCAGGGTTTCACTCTATGGCTTGCCCTCATGATGCTCACCATTGCCGGCTATCCAGCTAAGACGGGGAACCATGGAAAATGCAAACACAGTACCTAGGAAAGAGGCTGGGGCAGAGAAGCCCTGCAGGGATGCTCACCCTTCATCCTTCAGTATTGATGGGTCTGGCAGGAGGAGAGCTTGTCTGCTGGGAAACCTGCAGCACCTAGGAGCAGGGTGCTGGCATGACCTTGGGCAAGCCCACTTCTGTCCCAAGAGCCAAGTATCCATGGTAACAGAAAGACTGCTGGGAGCTGGCTGGAAGTCCCTGAAGACTGCTTGTGACTGGGGGTTGGCTGTGCTTGGTGGCCACCTTAACCATGACGGCTGAGTGGGTGAAAGCACCCCAGGCAGGTGGGCTGCCTACCCCCACAGTATCCTGTTCTAGAAATGAGTTATGTCAGAGAAGCTTGATTAGCCTCTTCAGCCCTCTCTGCTGGGACTGGCTGTTCTCCTGCTCCTACCACAGCTAGACGTTCAGTCTGGCATAGCCCATGAGGCTTCAAAGGGAATGAATCCAAGGGTTTCAGGGAAGCTCACTCCCTGTCTGCTGCTGAATGTCTGGGCCTACAGAGGAGGCATCTATCTCATCTCTGGCTTGGAGGAAGGGAGGGCAGAGTCACGCCAGAGCTGGGGGTGGGGGTGGAGGTTGGGGGCAGGCCTTGCCCCCAAGTGGCCAAGAAATGCAGAACTTCAGGACTGAGGCAATACACGTCTTGGGCACTTATGATGTATGTCTAATGAACTATATTTGAACTACAGGTAAAACAAACTATTGTCTTAGAAAAAGGACAATTAGCAAAATTAAGAATTTGGTTGGTATTTAACCCTCCATGGTAAATTAATTAAGGGCTTATGCTTGGATTTTATAGGAGTTAATGGAAGTAGAGCATTTCCATATGCTTATTTTCAGGTGTGACGTTTGTAGCATGGAGCCAGATTCTGCTACATCCCTCTGGTGTGCCAACAGTTCTAACCAAAGCAAAGCCTTTGCTTAAATCTGCATCAGCCTTAGGAACAGAAAGCAGAGCAGGAACAGTTTCTTCCCTTGCTCATTGTTCTCTCCTCACCATTGCATCATCTATTTGGGCTTCAAGTGGGAAGATGGCAGAGTTTGCCGGAAATAGTCAAACTGGGGAAACGCAGTGGCTGAATTCAAGTCCCGGTTCCACCACCAACAAGCAGCCTGTCTTTGGAAGTCCTTTCTTTCTCTTTAGACGTTAGTTCCTTCTGTCTAGTGTGGCAGGTGGGCCTTGATTCCTAAATTCCCCTCCAGTTCTCACTTTCCTTGATTCAGCCTAACCGCCCCCACTGGTTATACAACAGATCTTCCCTCCAGTGTAATCTGACCATGTGACTGTTACACTTGACCTTGGGAATAAGGCAAGAGCTATGTATCCAATGGATATATTGCTTTTGTGGTTTAATAAAAGCATCAGGTTCTTCTTTATGCATGGTTTTCAAGTGAAAACTCTTTGGAGTATGTAGCAATAATGCTTAAAATTTACTGTTTTGCCTGGGAAGAACCAGCCTCAGCATTTGAAAATAAATAAATTCTTAAATTGGGTTGTGAAGATCACTCATCTCCTTGAGCACAGAGGTTAACTGTACAGATAGGAGAGGAAGACTTCCTGGGACGAAATCCCAGCTATACCTCTTACTAGCTAGGTGTCCATGAGCATGTTACCCAACCTCTCTAAGCCTTGCCTTCCTCTGAAAAATTATAAGAAAACCAACCTATAGAGTCATTGTGAGGATGCAGTGGGATAGTACATGAGCATGATAAGAGTTCCATAAAGCTTGATAACTGTTGTATATTATACTAGTATTCTAGCACATACATAGTGCATTCTATCGAAGTTATTTGTGTTCCTGTAGCTCCTCCAGCAGCATGAGGGCAGGACTCTTTCTTCCTTCTCTTTACATTCCCAGCAGCTAGCAGAGTGGTTATGTCTTGCACAAAGCAAGTTCTCAATAATACTGTTTGCTGAATTAATCAAGATTGAGCATCAGTGTGGGTAGAACAGGTGTAGGTAAAAATAAAGGGCCACAAATAATTTTATTTATGTCGTAAAAAGCCTGTGGTTTTCCAAAATGGAAGCTACTCTGGGGCTAATAGGAATGTGGATCTGGTGGATGCTGAGATGAGGGGAAGAGAACCTCAGTGGTTCTCAACCTGGCTGCATATTTAGAATCACCTGGACAGGACAACTTCTTAAAAATACCAAGATCTGGGCCCCACCCCTCAGGGATTCTTACTTAATTGGTCTGGAGTGGGCCCAGATTTTTTTAAACTTCCCAGGTGATTCTAATGTACAGCTAGGGTTGAGAATGCTGATCTAGAAACCTCATTAAAGGACTTGGGGGTTTCTGAACTGGGTGTCATATTGAGAGAGTGACACAGAAAGGAGTGGGGAGAGGAAGAGAAAGAGAAAAGAAGTTCTCTATCTGAGGCAGATACTGATATTTAAAAAACACACAGTCAAAAAACACCGTACAAGTGCAGGCAGCATAGCCAGGAATACCTAAATCTTTCCCTAGAGCACAGGCACTCCCTCACTGAGGAAATTAAAATGGTACTCTCGACTTGGCAGCAAAGGAAAGCAAAGTAAGATTTTATTATTAGCTGTAGCCTTGAGCCCTAAATAAAGCAGTGCCAAGCATTCTGGTAACTAAGGGTAGCATAAGGAATATCTCTCTCCCTGGATTGCTGGCCATTATACCACCCTATCCAGTGGGTCCCAGTCTTGGTTACACGTCGGAATCACCCTGGGAGCTTCCTGATGCCTGGATCCCACCCACAGAGATAATGATGTTATTGGTCTAGGGTGTAGCCAGGATTTTTTAAAGTTGTCCAGAAGAATCTAACGTGAGCCAAGATCTAACAGCATCCAAACCACCATAGTTTCTAATGATATACATGGAGCAAGTACATAAACGCCTGAGTGTAGATTTTATATTTACATTTTATACAAGCCATTCAACAGTCCCATTAGTAATCACCAATGAAAATATTATAATTTCTCCAAGGGAAAGAAAAAAGTAGGAAAATGGATGTTTTTGAGCCTACTAAATGCACTGTATATACCTTATCTCTTAGTCCTTACAACATCCTCAAGAAGTCGTTGTTGGAATTCCCATTTTACTGAGGCTCAGAGAGGATACAGAGCCCAGAGACTCACCGTTAATAGGTTGCAGAGCATGGATTCAATTCTAAGTCTGTCCTTCCCCAAGCTCTCAGGTGCTTTCCACCACAGCACACAGCCCAAGCTCTTCCCTGAAGAGGCCCATGTGTTCACTGAACAGGTATTTATTAGACATTGTGAGTCAAGCACTGTGCTAGCTCCTGAAGATGCGGAGAGGCATAAGACAGGCATGTCCCTGGTATCAGAGAGCTGGCATTCCTTCGAGAACGTGGACAAGTTAGTAAGGAACCGACCTCAATGGATGTGTTCTGATGGAGGGATGGGCACAGGACATTGTGGGAGCACATCAGAAAGCAACCTCAATACAACTTTCTTTAAAGAGACTGAGAAACTATTTCATTACGAATATCTTTCACTACTTGATGGAAAGAACAAACATGTCTTGTTGCATTTCTGAGAGCCCCTAAGGAAAGCAGTTAATCCTGTGATTAGATTGAGAGCAGTCACATCAACACAAGCAAACTCTATTTGCTGTTGATCAATGGCTACTTACCAGTTGGTGGGTTTTAGCTGGGACTCAGGTTGATGTGTTTGGGGGCAGTGGGAGAGAGGGATGAGTTTCTCTTCTCCTAGGTACAGCTGGAGTAAGTCTCCCTGTTCCTCCCCTTAACTCTACCCACTACATGATGTGTTGTTGAAGAGTGCAGAAGTGCAGTAGGCATTGTCTTCACCCGTTTTATTTCCTGTGCTCATCTCCCATAAAACAATATCAAGCGAGATAGATGAAAGGGAAGGGCTTGAGTCTTGGGGCAGGCAGGGAGCCTGTTCTGGCTGATGTCCTAAGCAGGTGGCTGGCCTCTTTGATGAGTTACCAGGCTTAGAGAGCCTATTTACATGTGGTGTGGCAGGGGTGAGCCACGGGCTTCCCAGAGAAAGACATTTTGCCCAAGCCCAGCATACTAAACACAAGAGATACTTGCAGAATGAAAACGAGCTGGAAAAAAATCCACATTGTGGCTGGAAGCAGGGAAGAGCATCTACTTCTGCAAATGGATCCTAAATTACATTTTCAGAAAGTAAACATGGGGGTCAAGGGTCCTCCCACTATGCCGAGCGCTACAGAGGTAGAAATTTGTGTATTTTTTATTTTATTTTTTATTTCAGTCAAGGAGATGCTCTACCTCATCGTCACTGAAAATAGTAACTAGAGGGAGCTGACTGCCAAAAGAACAAGCCATTCTTTTCTCTTTCTCCTCCAGATATTTCAGGAGCTGGGATTTGGAATTATGAAACTGACAGAAAAAATAAACATGAAAAGACACTGAAATTATTACCATGTAACACCAGAAAAAAAATTTCCCATTTTCCCATACTATCCTTGTATAACACACTATTTTTTCCTCTAGAAATGAATTCCCCTTAGCGGGTACAGACTTGCCCTACACTCCCCCGACCGTATCTTGCAGGTGTGTTGGTGGTGGCAGTGATGATTTTCGGATGGTGTGAGTGATAGGGAAGTCTCCCAAAGGGGATTTATTTTTTAGTTGGCCATACAGTGAGATTGGCGGGCTCCTTTGGGTGTGATTCCCATGGAAGGACACTACCCTTTGGTGACTTATCTGCTGGGATTTTGAGTCTGAACCCCATTGTTGGTTGCGTCTCTATTTGTGAGCATCAGGCCCACAGGTGCACTGATCATAGATGATAGGATAAGGAGCCAGGGAAACGATCTGGACAGAACTCAAGCTGCAGAGCCAGGTGAAGTCAGGGACCAGAAGGAGGCAAGTGATCCCGAGTTGGGATTTTCCCAAAGCTAAGGATCTGAGCAAGACCGAATCAGAAATAGGTAGACAATCAGAATCAAGAAACGACACGGGGGGGCAGCCCCTTGGCTTGGCGGTTGAGTGCGCGCACTCCGCGCCTGGCGGCCCGGGTTTGCATCCGGGGCGCGCACCCACGCACCGCTTGTCCGGCCATGCTGAGGCCGCGTCCCACATACAGCAACTAGAAGGATGTGCAACTATGTCATACAACTATCTACTGGGGCTTTGGGGAAAAAAAAAGGAGGAGGATTGGCAATAGATGTTAGCTCAGAGCTGGTCTTCCTCAGCAAAAAAAAAGAGGAGGATTAGCATGGATGTTAGCTCAGGGCTGATCTTCCTCACAAAAAAAAAAAAAAAAAAAAGGACACGGGTTACAACTTGCGTCAAGTTGGAGATAGATAGAAACCAAGAGAGCATGAATGTGAGAAGGCAGAAATGTGACAGTTTAGGAGTCAGGAATCAGGAAAGTCATGGGACTAAGGAGCAAAGATCCGTGTTTATTGTGTTATGTCAGATGCTTTACATGCATTATCTCATTTAATCCTCTCAGATAAAGCCCTGTTATGGTGATCCATCCAATTTCACAGAGGGATATGTAGAGGCTGGAAGGGTGCTGATAACGGTGATTTCCAGATTCTAGCCTTCATATGCATATTGAAGGAAATGTGGTCTTGATGGTACAACCTGATTTTTGTTTATTTTTTTAATCAGGAATTGAGTTAATCTGTGAGAAAGATATTGATCTGGCCGCCCAGGTGCAAGAGCTACTGGAGTTTCTCCATGAGAAGCAGCATGAATTAGAGCTCAACGCAGAGCAGACCCATAAGCGGCTCGAGCAGTGCCTCCAACTGCGGCACCTCCAGGCCGAGGTCAAACAGGTGAGCCTGGCCCTTCCACCTTCAGCCTGGGCTTCCCAGCAGCTGAGCCTGGCCGGGGGCCTGCTCCTAGTATGGGATAAGGCATATAGAGCTACAGGTATAACCAAAACTTAGAAAATAGGTAAGTTAAGGAGTGGTTGTATTAGCTTCTGAAAGCTAAGCTGCTCTCTATTGGATCTAACAAACCGAGCTAATGGTACAATGGCTCAAACTACAAATGCATGATTTCTCTTTCCTAGCAATCTAAGGAGAGCATTCCAGAGTTTTCCTAAGTTGTCCTCAGTCGCTAAATCTGTTCTCTTCCTTTCTATCATCAATCCTGGCATGCAGTTCACAGGAAATACAAATCCTTGGTCAATAAACGTGTTCAGCCTTTAGAGCCAGGTTGATTAATTTGGGGTACCTGTGTGCCTACTAAGTCCCTGACACATAGTTGATGGGCCATAAGTGCTTGCAGTTCCCGTCATTCTTTTCAGTGTGTGTGGCCCTGATAAGAAAATTTTCTTGCCATATTAAGGTCAATTTTAAAAAGAAAAAAAGAGTTATTATCTGTATGAGACATTATACGAGCCATTTTACTAAAGGACATACCCAGATCTCTAGGAACACACACACAATGACCAGTGGCACATTTTAAAAATACTACATGTTTATATTATGAACAGACCAAGTGGGAATTATTAGCACAATGACTAGAGATTTCCTATTTAGACAAAGTGGGATTGAAGAGATACAAATATAATTATAGTCCATTTGCTGAGTGCTGTGTTCCTTTTATATCTCTCTCTCGATCAACCCTCGCAACCATTCTCTGAAGCAGATATTATTCCCATTTCATAGATGAGGCCACTGAAGCTTAGAGAGGTCACCAGACGATGGTCACACTGAGGAAAGCACATACCGCCACCCTCCATGGGTCCAGGAGGGCTTCCTGGCAAGGAGACTTCAGTGTTTGCTCCTTCTGCTCCACGCTCTCCCAAGCAGTCCCATCCCCCTGCTTCCTCTAGGCAGAGCCGCACCCAGGATATCTTAAGCAGAGACACAGCTCCCTCTTTTAAACCTTTTTTTCTTAGGTACAGTGACTGCTAGAGCTTTTAGATTTAAGAAACATTTTATTTAATTATTGCTCGGTCCCTTATGTGCAGGGTATTCCTTGCTAATGCCTATGTCTTAGTTATTATATTGTTATTTATTATAATGGGCAAAATTATCTTCTCTGCTCCCCTTCTCTTCCAATCAGTGCTCAGCCAGAGCCTACACACACTTGTGCTACAGAGCCGTATTCAGCGCAGGTGGAATCACTGAGCCCCAAGCAAGGCCACATCAAGCATTGTCATCCAGGGCGTTTTCTGTTTGATTGCTGGGATCACACCTGAATCTCGGAGAGAAATGCTATTCACAGGGACATGGTGGCAATCCTAGCAGGCCCAGAGCAGTGATGAGTGTACAAATTCTGCAACTCTTGGCAGTAATGATAGTACTTTCTTTTCATGTGAGAAGTACTATTTCATTTGTGATCTCATTTCAGGAGAACAGGCCCATGGGGAAAAATGGTGTATGTTTACTTTACAAATGAAGAAACTGAGGTACCATAGATTAGTGCTCCCAGCGCCCTTTGACTAGTTAGCTGACACTTGAGCCCAGGCCTCCTAAATCCAAGGTCCTACAATTTGCCTCTGCTGGACCCCATTCCCACCCTGAGATTCCAGGAGAAATAGAAAGAAGCCCTCCAGCAGAACTGAGTCTGGGATTTTCCTGGTGTCTGCGGTACCACGGCTGAGAAGACAGGCAGGCATGGCCTTCACCTGGCAGAGAGTGGCGCCTGCCTGATGAGTCAGCAGGCTCCAGCAGGTCATGGGAGTTCTCCTCTGCTCTTCATACTCAGTTATTTCTGTCAATGGAAGGTGGCAGGAATGATCATCTGAACAAAGCAGATAATGGGAAAATTATTCCTATTTGACTCTGAAATGAAATATATACTTTTGCTTTTGTTTCTGATTTTTTCTTATTTTTTGCTCCAGCATTAATAGTACAACCAACTCCTTACTTGTGTTTTTCTTGACTGATGTGAAAATGGAAATGAATCTTCATCCGCCAAGTATACATCCTGTGTAGGATGGGGAGCTGAGGTGATGATAGGTTTGGCAACGGGGACGTAGATTGTCTATAAATGAATAATTAGGCTTGACTAATATCTGTCTGCATTCCCAGTCAGTATTTCATGAGTTGGAGGGCAAAATAAGAATTCTTCTGTGGGGGTGAGAAAATTCCTTCTGCCCCCATGGCAAGAATGACACGCAGTGGGATTGTAGTTCAAAACGGTACTAGATTGCTTGAGTCAGACTTTAGGAAATCCATGAAGGCCTTTGCGAAGGACAGCGGCCCTTGGAGGCAACAAGGGACTCCTGCTAGGTTAAGCCACCATGCCTCATTAGTCAGACTTGTTTTCCTTGTCAATGTAGGGCTCTTTCTTTAGGGAGTCATCTGATCCAGTTTCAGAGAAGGCGTCTGTGTTTGATGGAAGTTGGTGGAGCAGGAAATATTGATTTGGAAGCTGTTGACACTTGGAAAGAGGGAGTTAATTTAGATGTCAGAATTGATCAGTGGGGCTAAATTTAGACACCAGCCTGAGAGTTTCTTTTGAATATACCCTCAAAAAAAAAAAAAGAAAGAAAAGGGACACCTTATTTGAAATGCCATTAATGGGAACAGAAAAAGAGAGGACAGCAATGTGTTATTATACAGCTCTGTCATTAGAGCTCATAGATTAAAGGTTTAGATTTGGCTATCATATCCTTAAGTGTAGTTACACCGCAATTATATTAAACTGAAGCTTTGAGGAGTGACGACGCCAGAGACATTAGACTGAAAATTATTTTCAAGTATTTAGAACAAATGAAATTGATTAACGCAACTGATTTTCTTTCTGAGGGATTACATAGGACTTTGTATCTAAGATCAGTGACCCAAATACCTCCAGAGAAATGTTGAATCTTGAAGGGAAACCACTCCCCTGGTTTCAGTCCACGGTCCAGGGCCCTAGATCACACAGAAGCCTTTTCTCCTAGAAAAATAGTTCTAATTATTCTCCAGATCCCACAAAATGCGCTTATTGCTTTTTAGGAAAATTACTGCTCTGGTAAGGATGACCTCATGTTTGTTAGATAATTCAGGAAGATTTGAAAAACCTACTTAATGGGCGTAAAACTAAATGAATTTCCATATGTATTCCTGCAGAGCAGTGCGTTTAGCAGACTATAGGCCAAAATGGATTTATAAGACCTTGGGGCTCTAAGCTATGGGGAAAGAAATCATACTTTTTGTCTACTAAAGACATTGACTTCGACTACCCCTGGGGACTAAATACTTGCCAAAATTTGCATATGATCAAGATGGACATTCAAAACAAAAGAGAAAATATTATCCTGTCCCATATTCCTGTCAAGAATACTGTGTTCAGTTCTGTACACTGTATATAAAAGTTAGAGAGGAGTTGGAGTAGATGCAAGAGAAACAACCACAGGGGCAAGTACTATCCATTTGTTTCAACATGGAGATAATTAAGACACATGGTCATAGTCTATAAAACCATGAAGGATGAACATGTATAATTTCATAAATTGTGAATTTTTAGAACTAAGAAACACTGGAAACATAACAGGCTTCCAGTTACCATCCGAGGGGCTGACGGTTTTTCCTGTGGCTGGAGTTTCAGAAATGACTGTGCCTTGGGATAAGTCATCTGCAATGGCAGGCCTTGGAGTCAGCGGCCTTAATGCAACCTCGTAGTTTTGTTGTGTGACCTAGAGAACACAGTCATATACAAGCACCTTCCCAGCCTAGGTGGTTACAGGGTCCAGCTTGCCCAGGTTAGATGGCATTGTCATTTGTGGGCATCCATGTTCAGCTAACCAGAACCAGTCTTCTCCTAACTTGGAGTTATCCGAGCTTCCTTGGCTTGAGGAAGCAATAGATCTCCATCTTCAGCTCCCTGTCTCTGCTCTGACTGAGCTGAATTCGTGGTCCAGCTCCTAAGTCCTCAAGCAGCAATACTCTTCCAGCCCCTCATTTCTGCAGAGCTCAGTTTCTCTGGTATCCTATGGTTATAAGGGCAGTCTCTGAATTTTGAAAGAAGTATGGAATATTAGGGCTCAGAGTGACCTTCAAAGGTCATCTAACCTATAGGTAAACTGTTGCCTAAGATGATTGATCAACATAAAATGTTCATTTTACAGATTACATCTTAGGGTTTGCAAAATACTTTTACATTAGCTGTTTCGTTTTATCATTACCCTATGACTTAGGCAAGCAAAGTGTTACCATTTTACAGATAAGAAAACAGCCTCAGAGAGATTAAATGATGTTTCCAAAGTCACACAGCTCAAGATTAGTAGGACCAACATTTTCTCATTTTTATTACAATATTTCTTCTACTACCTTGCAATCACTTGGATGTTCACAGAATAAATAACCTACTTTATGAACCCGGAAGATAAAGGACTACAGGAATATAAAATTTTACCAATGAACATTGTCATTGATCAGAGTACAAAGAATGGTGATAACAGCTAAGGTACCTACACCACATTGGAATATTCCTATAAGCTCTACAAATACTGGAATAAAATTAATATTCTTAAACTTTTCCTCTTCTCATTGTGAGAAGAATAAATGAAGAATCATAGCATTACCTTCCTTTGCTCCAAAACTAAACATCACCACCACCACCACCATCATCAGGCTTTACATTTTACAGTACGTTGCATCAACCCTGATACAGAAAGGGAAGGTACTGTTATCCTAACCTTACAGATGAGAAAACTGAGGCTCCAAGGGGTTAAGTGATTTTGCTGGGTAGTAACAGAGCCTGGTGTTCTGACTTCAGATTTTATGTGCTTTCTACACTCTCCCATCTCCGCTTCTAGGACTGACTCAATCATAGGGTTCAGTCCTACCCCTGAACCTAAGCCATAGATATAAACCACCATGCGTTATCAAATCTCCCACTTTGAAGTCCTGGAATGCCTTTATAAACAACATTTGGGAAATAAAAATGAACAAGGATCTCAAGTATATGGCATGATTTAATGAAAGATGTAGAAACTGAAGCCTATAATATTTCTAAATAGAAAGCTGGTAAATGGAGATCCCACAACCATAACTATAACTGATCTTTCCAGTTGGCTGAAACTAGAAAGGAAAATATTCCAGCAAGACTCAGGAGGCCCAGAAGGAGTCAAATTGTCCCTCAAGCATTGATTTGTGATGCACATGGAGAAAATGTTTCTCTGACACCCTCAAGTGAATCTTGAACCAAGCAAAATGCAATGAATCATGGCAGAAGGACTTACATAGTTCAAAAATATACACTGTGAGCTCTTTTTCCAAAGAGATGAAGCATTTGGGCATGCAATCCATGTGTGCATGTACCCAAACTTCCAGGCAGCTTTTGGAAATCCTTAGCACCACTAGCCAGCCAGCCAGCCAGCCACAGTACACCAGTGGCATCAGAGACTTCACACATACACTCTGAGCAGTTATTTCCTGCAACTAATTGCTTTAGAGATTGGCATCTCATCTACAATCTGCCAGACTGGCCATGAATTAACACCTCAATCCAAATAGCCCAGCTTTAGTGGGATTTATGCCCTGATGTTATCCATGCACAATATGGCATCAGTCATTTTCTGCCCAAGGAGGAAATTTGAGAAACGCCTATGAGGGTTATGGAATAGGAGACCAGGCTTAGTATTTTTCTAGTTGTTTAACATGAAGAAATTGAGAGGAGAAAAAAACCTGAAAAAATCTAAAACAGATTGTGGTGTCTTCTGCTTTGCCTTGAGGTAACAGATGGATGGTATTTACTGATCTTGAAATTTCAGAAGAATTTTTATTTTTTCTCCAAGCAAACTCTCAGATTCTCTAATAAAGAAAATATTTGGCGAGTTTCTGGTGACCAGACACAAGGTAGATTTTCAAGGCCTAAATCTTCTGGTTTGATTATTCATGATTGACTCTGTTAGCTAAATAATTGCCACATCTCCATTTCACTCACCTGGGACCATCTATCTAGACAGTGTGAGCTGTTTCTCCTTCTATTCTAATATTCTCTAGCTGAGTTTTCTTTCCCCCAGTGCTAATTAAGGTCACCTAGAAATTTTACTCAGCCTAGCCATAGCCTCCAAATAATTTAAATCAATTATAACTTACTTTCCCTTTTTCTAATGACCCGGTGTATGGATTATTAGTGCTATTTTTCTTGTTTTCTTTCTCTTTCCGCCTTCCTTTGGGTTGTTTACCTACCAAAGCTCAAACCTGTCTACTCTTGGCTATATTGCAAGGCATAGGAGGTTAAACCCACTGCTCAGGTGTGATTTGAGTACTCTCCACAGATAATCATTCACTGTTTCAAAAACATTACTGCACACCCATCATATGCAAGGTACTGTGCTAGGTAATTTGTGAAATTAAAATATGACTAATATATTAGTCTAGTCTTCCAGAGTTTACATTCTAAGTGGGGAAATGAAACATAAGTCAAAACAGCTGAACAAGGCAGTCTGTGGTGAGTGCCACAAAGGTGGTACATACAAAATGGTTTGGTTGTGCTAGATGATGAAGAGATTATTTCTAATGGAAGTGAATAGGTATGGAATATTTCAAGAAGTTGTTGATGTTTGAACCGGGTCTTAAAAAAAGAAAAGGATACCAACAGATGGAATTTATTTATACTATTCTATGTTCCGGAAGGAACTTCAGAAACGTACATACAATGCAATCAGATAAAGTAATGCTTAAATTAAGGAAATGAGGACAGAGGGATGATTGGGACAGAGGGATGATAAGGGTAGGAAAGAATATATGAAGCTGGGAATAAGGTTGGTACTTGCTTATGGCACAGGGTGCCAGGTAAGATTAGGGAGATGACGATTTTATTTTATATTTTAAAATTATTTTATTGAGGTCATATTGGTTTATAACATTGTGTAATTTCAGGTGTACTTTATTATATATCAGTTTCTGTAAGGCTGCATCGTGCTCACCACCAATAGTCTATTTTTTATCCATCACCGTACATATGTGCCCCTTTACCCCTTTCTCCCACCCCCTTCCCCTCTGGTAACCACTAATATGTTCTCTTTATCTATGTATTTGTTTATCTTCCACATATAAGTGAAATCATATGGTATTTGTCTTTCTCTGTCTGACTTATTTCGCTTAACATGATACCTTCAAGGTCCATCCATGTTGTTGCAAATGGGACGATTTTGTCTTCTGTATGGCTGAGTAGTATTCCATTTTCTTTATCCATTCATCAGTTGATGGGCACCTGGGTTGCTTCCACATTTTGGCTATTGTGAATAATGCTGAAATGAACATGGGGTGCATAAATCTCTTTGTATTGTTGATTGCATGTTCTCTGGATAAATACCCAGTAGTGGGATGGCTGAATCATATGGTATTTTTATTTTTAATATTTTGATAAATCTCCATACTGTTTTCCATAATGACTGCACCAGTTTGTATTCCCACCAGCAGTGTATCAGGGTTCTCTTTTCTCCACATCCTCTCCAACATTTGTTATTTTCTGTCTTGTTAATTATAACCGTTCTGACAGGTGTAAGGTGATATCTCATTGTAGTTTTTATTGACATTTCCCTAATAATTAGTGATGTTGAACATCATTTCATGTGCCTGTTGACCATCTGTACGTCTTCTTTGGAAAAATGTCTGTTCATATGCTCTGCCCGTTTTTTGGTCAGGTTATTTGTTTTGTTGTTGTTCAGTTGTATGAGTTCTTTATATATTTTCGAGATAAACCCCTTGTCGGTTATATGATTTGCAAATATTTTCTCCCAGTTGGTGGGTTGTCTTTTTGTTTTGTTCATGGTTTCCTTGGCCTTGCAGAAGCTTTTTAGTCTGATGTAGTCCCATTTATTTATTGTTTCTTTTGTGTTCCTTGTCTTAGTGGACATGGTATTTGAAAAGATGCTGCTAAGACTGATGTCAAAGAGTATACTGCCTATATTTTCTTCTAGGAGTTTTATGGTTTCAGGTCTTACATTCAAGTCTTTAATCCATTTTGAGTTAATTTTTGTGTAAGGTGTAAGATAATGGTCTACTTTCATTCTTTTGCATGTGGCTGTCCAGTTTTCCCAACATCATTTATTGAAAAGACTTTCCTTTCTCCATTGTATGTTCTTGGCTAATCTTTGTTGAAGATTAGCTGTCCACAGATGTGTGGTTTTATTTCTGGGCTTTCAATTCTGTTCCATTGATCTGTGTGTCTGTTTTTGTGCCAGTACCATGCTGTTATGATTACTATACCTTTATAGTATATTTTGAAGTCAGGGATTGTGATGCCTCCAGCTTTGTTCTTTTTTCTCAGGATTGCTTTGGCTGTTTGGGGTCTTTTGTTGTTCCATACGAATTTTAGGATTCTTTGTTCTGTTTCTGTGAAGAATGTCATTGGGATTCTGATTGGGATTGCATTGAATCTATAGATTGCTTTAGGTAATATGGACATTTTAACTCTGTTTATTCTTCCAATCCATGATCATGGAATATCTTTCCATTTTTTTATTTCTCCGATTTCTTTCAATGTCTTATAGTTTTCAGTGTATAGGTCTTTCACCTCCTTGGTTAAATTTATTCCTAGGTACTTTATTCTTTTTGTTGTGATTGTAGGAGGGAGATGACTATTTTAATTATCCAGACCCTTCCTGTCCTCTGTCCAACTGTGGGGAGAAGATAGCGAGCTCTCTGATTGATGGATCCATCAGAGAAGGCAACAGCTCTGGGAACCTGCAAAGGCCATTCACTTGCATTTTTGTCCTGACTGCCTAGGTCCTGGGATGGATCCGCAATGGGGAGTCAATGCTCAACGCCAGCCTGGTCAATGCCAGCTCTTTGTCTGAAGCAGAGCAGCTGCAGCGGGAGCACGAGCAGTTCCAACTGGCCATCGAGGTAACACCCAAATCTGGCTACACTGTCCTCCCTTCCCCTTTCTGCTCTGCATCTCATGCAGGATGATTCCTCAAGATGTGGGCATTCCTTTATGTAGTGAAGCCCTTTCTCTTTCTAGTGAAATGGTCCAGGTAGCCTCCCTATTACCCAGAAATTGATGGAGAAGCAAATACAGGGGTTCATCACCCCAAGGATGCCTAGTATTAGAAGACAAGTATTCACACTACAAATGTGGATCTTTCTTACTCATTGGTACCTTTAACCTTCAAGGCCTCAGGTAACACTGAGTGTTTTATACATTATAGACTGTGTACCATGTGAGAAATGAAATGCTAAAAGGTTAGAAGTCACTTCCAGTTGACGATCACTCAGAATTCAGGATAAACAAGTACAAAAGTCATTAGTAAGTTAGGATTCCATTTTTAAACATTTGACTTACACGTAACATTTAGATTCCATTGTCAGAGTCTGCCTTTTAACAAGAACAGTGAGCACTGGAGCAGATCTCACTAGGTAGTTTGCTTCACTGAAAGTAGTCGTTCAATAATGCTGGTGGAAGTCATATTTAAAGAATACACTGTAACCCGAAGTTCACCAACTGAGACTTGTTTTAAAGCCTATTTTAAAATAAAACTCCACTTATGATAATCTAATATAAATTTTGTCTTGCTTTAAATAATACCTTTAATTATCCTTTCTACTAGAATACTCTCCTTCCCAAAGAGACTTGAACTGATTGCTGTAGAGTAGTGTGGGGAAAAGAGTAGGAAATAGGACATGGGAACTTATTGAAAATAAAATAAGTTCAGTACCAATGGGAAAAGAGATAAAGAGTGAAAACTTCAAAAATGTTCATTAACAGTGGTTCAGTATAAAACTCAACCCATTTCTAAGTAAGAAATGCAAAAGTGTTATCTTCTACTAAAACAAATGATTGTTAATGAGAATTTTCCACAACAATGGTAAAATTTTAATTGTCTGTGGCAATAAGCATATCTTTAATGCAGTAATCCAACTGATTGCTAGCCATTTTTAAACTAGTATTAATTGATTTCAACCATTTAAATTTTCAGAAACCATCTTGTATGTGTAAATATAGCATTAACCTGAATCACATGTTTCTATAAGATGCCTGATAGCTTCTTAGGAACCATTGCTAGTACCAGAGTACTGTCTGGGAGTTGAGATTTAAAAATGAGCTGTATATTACACACACAATACGGGAAAATCATTTTCTAAGAAGAACTAGCCAGAGGAGAGAAGTTTTATTATCGTCAGCTGACTCAGTTGTATTTTACTGGCACGCCCAAATATGACAGTGTGAGGATCTATTCACTGTAAAGAAAAAAACAGGATTGGGGTTACAATCCAGAATCAGGCACACAGTGGTCAAGTCCCCATAGAGAGGGAGCAATGAAGAAGATGAAGGTTGGGCCCGTCAGACTAGAAGCATGGCACGAAGCTGTGAGGGATGTTAGGCAGAGAGAAGACAGCTCTTGGCCGTACCTCCTTCTTGTTTATCTTCAATGTGAAGTTTACCTGCACTGTCAGGTAATTAAATTTTCAGTCACTTAATCAAATGTTGGGCAAGTAAAAATCAAGTGTAAAACACATTTGCGCATCTCCATGAGCTAATGGAAAATAGTGGGTAAATGCATTAGCAATGCTATTGAAATGACCAAATTCCACATGACTTGCCTATGCAGAATGTCTTAATTTGTATTAGATGCTGTTGCATCCTTACAGAATAGAGCCTCACTAAGCATATGTGTCTCTTAATTACATGGGTGCAACTTGATCAAATATTCTTGGAATTGATGTTGAGATATAGGTCCCTGAAGAGTTTATGTCAATGGTCTCAAGAGGACACGGCAAAGCAGATAGGATTTCTAGAAGATCTTGGGAATGGCAGGTAGGCAGGGTGTGCAGCATGGCGAGATTATAATAAAGAGGACAGAACCAGAATTTCAACATACGCTCCTTCTCCAGGTGGCCTTGTGCTTCTCTCTAAATGTGTTGGTTTAGACCAGGTTCTGCAGGGACCTGCAGGGAATATATGCCAGGAAGGATTTAAGCAATTTGAAAGGGAATCTAACTAGTCTGGTTTGGCTTAACCCACTTTGATGGTGTTACTGGAGCCCTTTACAATGATTGCTGAGAGGGAATATAATTTGACTTCTTGGACCCTAGGAAAGAACCCTGGGTTCCAGAGGGGAAAATAAAAAAGCTATAAGGAGGTAGATCATATAATTTATTGTTAAAACTGAGACACTTTAAAGAGTGGAGGAGGGAATTATTAGTAACTAAGCCAGAAAAATAGGCATATACTACAATTGTCAGGGGCAAACCAAGATGTTTGCTCACCCTAGCTTGGATGGGTGGCCTCATCAGTTTGAAGGTTTTGGTCTCCCCAAAGAAGGTCAGAATTTTTACCTGAAGTAGGCTTGGTTTCAGGGAAACTTTCCCCAGAGCCATTCAGAATAGAGAGCAGTATACAACACCCAGAAGCATAGCTTTATCAACAAACCCGGATTATTATTTGTTAGTATCCACAATATTGTGGCTGATGTGTGAAGAACTGTGAACCTCATAGAGACAAGCTCAATTTTGAAATCCATTTTTGTCTGAAATCCTCCTAAGCATAAACATTATGGCAGAAGTAGTGGTTAAAACTGGATAATAAATTCAATTTTCTTCCACCTACTCCTACTAAATATTAGCATCCTTGATAATCCACATCTTAAAGATATAGCACTCAATAGGATTAGATAATAGAGAGTAGAGATAAATGCAAAATAATGACTCAACGTTAGTAAAGTCAAGATTATGTCATATGCATAAGGGTTTATCATTTTTAGAAATTAAAGGGGAAAGGGGTTTTCAGGACTATTAGATGATAATGAGTGTCAGAATAAGGTAGAGATTTATTACGTAGCAAAAATTATAGGAAAATTAAAGTTGGTCTTCCACTCTCGGAGAAAAAGACATAATAATGGGTTTACGATGACAATTATATGCTAGTTTCATATATTGGGGAGAGGCCAAATAGTTATCATAATCACTAATATTCGTTTGGTGAATGCTTCCTCTGAATGAGGAACTGTAGATACCATTCTAAGTGCCAGACATAAAATGATGTAATGTGATCTCATGGAAAGGAATAGGTTTGGGACTAAGTCAAACCTGAATCTTATTCCTGGTTTCATCACTTCCTTGGTTGTACATTGTTGAGTAATTCGCTTAACCAGCCTGAGCCTCACTTGCTTAATCTGTGAAGTGGGAATAATAATAACCACCTTGTAGTAATGTCATGAGAACTAGAAAAAATATGCATAAGCAAAGTACCTAGCACAGAGTATACATTTGATTAAATGACAGCTATTAAAGTGATTTTTTAAATAGTCCTTACCTTGAGACTTTCACAGTCTAAGTAAGGAGAATCAGCCAAGTGTTAGGTGAGTGATATAGGAGTTCAGAAAAGGGTAGTTTTTAGTGAGTCTGAGGCTGTCTGAAAAGGCCTCTTTGAAGGAGATCGGACTTGAGCTGAGTCTCAGAGGAAAACTGGAACAAAGATGGGAAGAGTGTAAGGGGTGTTCATTAAAGTCAGGAAGAATGAAAGTAGCAAAAACAAGAAAGTGCATGTGTTTTCAAAGGCTTTTTGTAAGGAAGTATTAGTAATAATGTTATGGCAGTAATTGGACCACATGGTGAGGAGCTTTTAATGACATCCTCTAAAGTTTAGACTTAATTTCGTAGCAATTGGGGAACCACCGAAGGCTTTTGAATTGAGAGAAGGGAATGATGTTTATAGCACAGAATTAAGAGTTTTAGAGCTGGAAAGGATGTTAGAAGTCACTTAATCCAGGCATTTCCTATCGCAGAGAATTAGTCTGTCAGAAATGTAAGGAATGGGTTTGATGGATTAGAAATGAAAGGCAAGAAGACTAGTTAGGTGATCACCACAGTTGTCTAGATATGAAGTGGTGAGGGCTAGACTGGGACTCAGGGTGGGAAACAGCAGCCAAGGATGGTGACAAGATTGTAATCCTGGGTGGCAGTGAGGAAGACACCACCAACAGAATGGTAGACTGCAGTGGGGAGACTCTTTTAGAGGGAGGAGGAGATTCGTTTTAGATGTGGAACTTGAGGCAATGTCTGGGAGGAATGTGGAGGTTCTGATAAGGCATTAAAGCCATTTGCATTCATTGGCAAGGGTTCCTCCTCTCTCTAGGAAGATCTTTCATTCTTTTTACTGAGACTGCATCTTTGTAAGTGACTGACATGAGTCAGACAGCTAGATCAACCAAATCAGTGCCACTGACCTAGGTGAGAGGTGTGGCAGGCAGCTCACCCTCACATCCAAAGTCAAAGATGAGGCTCAGATGTCAGGTGAGAGATATAGACTGGGAAGTCATTTACAAAAAGGAGATAATAGAAGCCAAGGGAATAGATGAGTTCTCTGCAGAGTGAGCAAAAACCAAGAATGGACCTTGGGGTACCTCTACGTTTAGGAGACAGGAAAAGAAAATGATACCAATAAGTAAAACAGAGAAAGGAATCAGGGATTTTTAGTGGAGCATTTCTGCCTGTTAGTTTAGTTTTTCTAGCTGCGTTCAGCAACTAGGAACCCAAATGCTGATATGGTCATCAGGATTGAAGGCTGACTCAGTAGCAAAGCAAGGGAATGAAGGATTCTAGGTTGCTAGAGGAGGTCGTGCTAAGGTAGCTAACACTGAGTACTGATTTGGGAGAGCAAGAAGGGAAGCCAGGAGGTGGTTGATAGACTGGGAAGAATAAATAGGACTGTGTAGACTGCTGTCAGGGATGAGGGTGAAGGGGGAGATAGAGGTGAAAAGGAGCAAGATTGTACTCTCACACAGGGAGTGCTGAATGGATTCGCTCTTGGGAACTGTCCCGGCACTGCTGCCCAAGAAGAAGGGCAGAATTAATTCTGGAGTAAGTTACTGGGCTCCTAGCTGTCCCTTTTCACTGCCAGCTGAGCTATACTTTCCTAAAAGTGAAAAGGCCGATAGTACTGTGCCATTCGGTTGAAATGATCCCAGCAGTTGTGGTTGGGATAATATTAGCTCTTTGAAGTCATATGGCTCATCCACATCAGTTCTTTATTTTAATAAATTTTAATCCCATATTGCTCTCTCCCTGCTACCCAGTCCTCCAGCCTGGCCTCCCCACCTCCTACAGTTAATGTGAACTCAGAGAATTCACACCACGTTTAGCCAGAATAAGAAAATAAACCTTCTACGAGATCTGTATTATCCTCAAGGCAAACATAAATAATGTAGTCATGTGGGGATTATATGTTGAGCAGAATTATCTACTGTCCTGCTCTGTTCCCTTGGTGAGGTAATCAAGGCATGGTGCTCTTATGCTTTATTAACCTGCCAAATTTGTTCCTTCTAGTGGAGTCCTTTTCAACTGATAATTAATGTTTAAAATGAATTCATTGTTGGCTGAGATTTGTGTTACAGGGGGATTTTTTTAATGTGCTGTGTTTATTTGTTCTGTAAAATGGGACTGCAGCAGTAACCTCCTTTGAAAACTCATGATGATGAAGGATTTTATGATTAGATTTGAAAAGGAAATTTAACTGATGTATGAACCAATCAGGGAGAAGATTTATACACAACTGCTGTTTCTCTACCACAGAAATGGAAATGTCTTTAAAACCCAGAGTAATACAAGTAGAAGAGAAAGGAGTGGGGGCAGGAGTTAGGGACCTGAGCGATTAGTTAATGGAAATGTATGATATTCTTTTTTTAAAATGTGCTTTAACAACAATGATGTGTTAATCATCATGACAAAATGTTTGAATCAGTCATTTAAAGCTCTTTAACTTTTCTGCATCTTTTCACTCACGCCTCGCTCCACCCCCTCCCATACCACGCCTGGGTCGTTCCCACGGACCTCTCTCTCCTCCCCTGTGCCCAGTCCCTCTTTCATGCCACTTCCTTGCAGAAGACGCACCAGAGTGCCCTGCAGGTACAGCAGAAAGCCGAGGCACTGCTCCAGGCTGGCCACTATGACGCAGACGCCATCCGGGAATGTGCTGAGAAGGTGGCCCTCCACTGGCAGCAGCTGATGCTGAAGATGGAAGACCGGCTAAAACTGGTCAATGCTTCTGTGGCCTTTTACAAAACTTCTGAACAGGTGAGGGAAAGGGCTGTGGGATGTGTGGGGCTGAGATTGATGGAGGGTCATTTTCTGCCTCACACTGCAAATCTGCAGTGTCTACCTCAGCAAGAAGCCAGTCCTCTCAGTGTTAACCTTTGAGAGTAGAAGAATCATTTATGGGAACACCATGATTGGCTTCCTTATAAATCCTTTCCATTAGAGAAGCAGACCGTGTGATTTGTTTCTTATAAATTTCTCAAATTCATCAGATCTAGGTGTCGAAGTAGAAATTGGGTGGGTGTATGCTAAATGCTAGATTTAAGTGGTGTTTCAATCAGCTTTTGCCACAATAATGCTGTGTAACAAATCACCCCAAAACTCAGTGGTATAAAACAATAAGCATTTATCTTTTGTTTAAGTTTCTGGAGTTCAGCTGATCTTGGCTGAGCTTGGTAGAACTAGGCTCCAAGGTGCAGACTGGCTCTAGATCTGTTCCCATGTCTCTCATCCTCCTCGTCCAGCAGCTACTTGAGGCACATTTATAGTGAAAGGCAGGAGTGAAAGGCAAGACCCCAAAATCTACTATGCCAGTGCATTTCAAGTCTCTGTCATATGTTCTAAAATCCATTTGGCCAAAACAAGTCACGTGGCCAAGCCAACATCAATGAGGCAGGGAAGTATATGCTTCCTATGAAGGTTGGGAGAGGAGAGTGACAATTTGCTGAACATGATCTAATCTAACACAATCAGGCACTATGCATTCTTTGAAAACTATACCACTCTTTCGCTCATGGGTCTCCCGGTCTAATGGAGGAAACACTGCTCTCTATCATTGGAGAACTCTGAGCCTAACTGGTAGCGTGGTGCAGCTGTCGGAGAAAAGACAGGAGATGCAGACAACAGGGCCATAAAGATGCAGACCCATTACTTATTACATCTGTACAGCAATATGCACAAAGGCTAAGAGGATTTTTAAATGATTTGGGTATTTTTAGGGAATTCTTTTCATGAAATAGAGAGTTAAAACAGGAGTAATTTTATTCGATGTAAAATACTTTCCTCATTTAAATAGTTTCCTGGTAGAAATAGATCAGAGAAACAGTCTCCTCTGGGTGACTTATAGGGAACATGGGAAAACCTGTCTCAGAGCAAATGTAACATGCCTGTCAGAGGGCCCTGAAGCCAGTGTTCGCATCTCCATACCTTCTCCCAGTGCTCTTCTCTGTTGTTTTAGAGAGAGGATGCCTTTGATGGCCATGGAAGTGGGAGCAGCAGACCAAAATGATAGAGAGCTTCTCCAGCTGATCTGATCTGTGAATCAACACAATCCCAATCAAATGCCAGCAAGCTGTTTTGTAGAAATTGATATGCTGATTCTAAGATTTATATGGAAATCCAAAGAACCTAGAATAGCCAAAACAATCTTGAAAAGGAAGAACAAAGTTGGAGGAGTTACGCTACCTTATTTTGAGACTTACTCTAAAGCTGCAGTGATCAAGACAGAATGGTGTTGGTGTCAGGATAGACACAATGGAACAGAATAGAGGTTCCAGAAGTAGACCCACAGATATACAGTCAGTTGATTTTTGACAATTCCGTGAGTAAAGGAAGTCTTTTCAACAGATGGTGCTAGACAACTGAATAGCCATATGAAAAAAAAATGAGGCTTAATCCCTGTCTAATATCATACACAAATTTTAATTTGAGATGGATCAAGATGCTGAAAGGGGCAGAGTACTAGAGTCAGAAAATTTGACCCTGAACTGACCTTGCCAAAGGTCACTTTATCTCTCTAGATTTCTGTTTGTTCTCCTATTAAAGGATTTATGCTTGATAATCTTTTCATTTCTTCCAGCTCCCAAATTGATTAGTTTTAAGTCTAATACTATCATGGGACAGGTGTCAGGTGCTCTTTTTCTTAAAGTTTTTTCATGTGTATAATCTGTGTTTTCTCAAGACCTGAGCCCTCCTGCTGTTTTCATGCCTTGCATAAAGAGAGGTGTGTGGTGCTAGAGAAGTCAGCCAGAGTCCAGGGACAGGCCTCCTCATGACATGGGAAGCATGTTGGCTATGGGGGTATTCTGCCAAGTACATCTTTTAGCTCAGTTCATAACTGAATAAATGTCCTATCCGATGCCACACCCTTCCTTAGAAGGGATGACTTTCTCAGACAGAGGAGGCCAAGCATAGGTATAGTTGCTCTCCCCTGCTGCCATAGCCAAGCAAGAAATCAAAGCCTATTAAAGGAAAGTATAGGAATATGAGTTTCTGTTTTCTGCATCCTTCCCTAGACCCTGACACTAGGCTGCCCTAGGTCTCCTACTGTGGCATCCAACCAAATTTTCCCTCCAAGACCTATTCGAAATGCTTTTGCTCCCTTCAGAGTTCATTTGTATGGTCACTTAAAGCATAGCCTCTCAGCATTTTTATAATGAAAAGCTTCTTAACTATCTTTTAGGTTAACACAAACTTGTTGTCCCTCTGAAGGAAATGTCCATTTTGCAGTAGAAGGCCTGGAGATGTCATTGCCTTATGGTAGTACCTTGAGACATTTTTGCTGGGATATTTTTCCCCAGGGAGGGGAAAGATAACATTCATTTACGGCCCATAAGTCACACAACATAGGCAACTTAATCTTTTTTTCTTTTGTGAGGAGATCAGCCCTGTGCTAACATCTGCCAATCCTCCTCTTTTTTTTTTGGTGAGGAAGACTGTCCCTGGGCTAACATCCGTGCCCATCTTCCTCCACTTTATATGGGACGCTGCCACAGCATGGCTTGCCAAGCAGTGCGTGAGTGCGCACCCGGGATCCGAGCCCGCAAACCCCGGGCCACCGTAGCCTAGTGTGTGCATTTAACCGCTTGCACCACCGGGCCGGCCCCAGGCAACTTCCTCTTTTACCTCTGCTTGAGGCTGCTTCTTGTAGAGCAAGTATAGATGGTTGGGCAACCCACATATCTTCTCCAAACCTCACTTTCCTGTTCTGCCTAATTCACAGAGTTATCATCAAGTTATAGCAATATAATATGTAAAAACCCTTTGAAACTCCCCAAATTACTAGTCTCTGTTCTTTTCTTACTCTACGTATTATCCCTAGGTGATTTCATCAACCCCCATAGCTTCAGCCTTCAGCCATTGACTGTCAGAAGATGATTCCAAAATTCATATCTCAGTCATAATCTGTTTCCCAAGCCCCAGATGCTGGATTCTCACTGCCTCCTGGACCTCTCTGAGATGTCCCCGGGCACTGCATACCCTAAATCTACAAACTGAACTTCAAATGGAAAATGTCACCTGTGCAGGGTTCTCTTGGCTGAAGGTCCTCATAAAATACGTCCCGACGGGTTAATTTACTGAGTCTTTTCCTCCACGATTCATTAGGTTTGTAGTGTCCTGGAGAGCTTAGAGCAAGAATACAGGAGAGATGAGGATTGGTGTGGTGGACGAGATAAACTGGGGCCAGCAGCAGAGATCGACCACGTGATTCCGCTCATCAGTAAACATTTGGAACAAAAGGAGGCCTTTCTTAAGGTCAGAGCACATTGTCATCCAAGGTCTGGGACTTGAGCCTTGTTCTTTCATCTGCCTTCTCCCTCTCTCCCCTCTCCTCCTCCTTCTCCCTCCCGCTCTTTCTCTCCCTCTCTGTCCCGAGCGCGCGCGCGCGCGCACACACACACACACACACTGCTTCATATGGGCTTCCCACACCCTGATTTTTTCTAGCTTCTTATCTAAAGGGAGGCATTTGTAGAGAAGGTATTGGCTGGTTAATTTGAAAGGTTGAAAGGTTACACTTCAAACATTATTTCTCTCAGCACTTTTTGTATAATTAGGCAATTAGGATACACCGTTGCTACTGGTGCCCTGTTCAAATACTCTGATATCCCATTGATGTTGAGAAAAACACATACTTTCACTCAGTTATGTTTGGTTTATAAAAATATTTTTTAATTTAAATAGATAAGCCTAGATATAAAACAATATTAAAATAAATCTTTTATAAACGGATGATACAAAATTTAGGGCAAGAATTAAAGAAACAAATTGACACCTTATTTATTTATCAATCTAACAATTATCAATTACTGATAAATGTAATAGTGTTTACTCTGCTGTATGAAGAGAGAAATACCTTATTTTGTTTGTTTTGTTTTTAATAGAGCCCTAGCTTCCCAGGGAGGAAGCACAGTCCTGCTCTGAACAGGCTTTCAGCTGGTGTGGAAGTCCTCATAAGCCTCTTTCCTCCAGGCTTTGATCTCCTCTGACAGAGTCTTCTGTGTTAAAACTTATCTAAAGGCTCCATTTACTCTCAAATTCCTTGCCTTTATGTTCTGCTTCCTCTCAGCTTTCTGAAAGTACAAAAGAGAATTTTTATCCCTTGACATACTGCCACTGACTTTCCACAATTCCATAATTAACTGCCTTTTATTAGGGATTTTCTCTACTTGACCACCTCTTTAAGTTTTATTCTTATTCTTTTTTTGAGATGGCCTCCCTTTGCCCTCCTCCCTTCTATCTGGTATCTGCACCTGCATTCGATCAGAACCCTTAGGAATCAGCTCTCACTAATAAGATTAAATAGAAATTCTTCTATATAGGCCTTAAGATGATTTTTTAAATCTTCTCTATTACAAAACAAAATTTAAAACAGAACAATTTAAGTAGAGCGTATCAAAGATTTTAAATAGAGGTATAAAGATATTTCTTCATAAAATTGTTTCTTTTGAAGAAGGAAAAAAGAAAATGTTCTGGTCTGATGTTTTCCATGTGTCCCTAAAGCAATAGTTGAGAAACTCCCTATCGTTGTGGGAATTATATGCCCAGTGGACAGAGCATCGAGCTCTCCATTCGTATGCATTCTTAGTTGATCGAGTTTGGATTCCTTAGCTTGGGACCACTGTCCGGCTGTTAAATTCATAGATCTCAGGGTGGTTGGGCCCACCAGCAGTCTTTTACCAGAGCTCCCAGAGGCCATTGTTGCTAATGCAACATTTAAAGTAATTTTTTACCAGATAATATGTAGAATCACAGGCTAAGTGTAAAAAGGTTTTAAAATTTGACAGTTTTGTGTAGAGATATTTAATTCTGTGGATTAAAAATTAGTAGACTAGCATGTATTACTTCTACAATCAGAAAAAAACCTGCTTTTTAAAGAGATTCAGAAACTCTGTGGTCTTCAGAGAAACTAGAAAGACTGTCAGTAGATCTAGATTCTAGCCCTGACTGGCTTCATGACTCCTGCCCTTTCTGGGCCTCGGTCTCCTCCATGGGTACAGCAACACAGGACAGACCTGTCCTCGCTGCCACCCTCTGCTATTGAGTCTTAAAGGGGGTGGAGTAATGGCTCTTATTTCTTTATGTAAATCGATATTTCTCACCCACAGGATGTTTAATAGTATTATTAAGGTAGGAGTGGATTTGGTGGATAAGTAAGTTTTTAAAATGTGGGTAATTTCCATTTCAATTTGGATGTATGGTTAATAGGTTCGTATACCAAATTTGCTTTCTTAAGTCTAAAATAAACTAATGTTGAAGTGGCTTACACCAGTGGTCATGTAAGAGGCACTCTGGTGGCAGAGGAAAACCAGCCTGAGAGTGAACGTTAGGAATACTGACTCAACATACACTAGTGAAGGGATGGCTAGTTTCTGATTTTTATCTGTGATGGAAAGGGGAGAGGCACAAAGAACAATTCTTTGCTCAATAAAAGGTGAGCCTCCTGTGTTGGAATTGGAGTGTCCATGAACCAGAAGTGGCCTCCAGGGCTCAGCTCACCCAGAGCTCCAGCAGCCTCGTCACCGGCACCCTTTCTCTGGTGTCTTGGATCCCATGCACCTGCTGGACCAGTACTTACACGTGAGGGCTTCACACCCTTGTCTCTCTCAGGCCTGTACCCTGGCACGGCGGAACGCGGAGGTGTTTCTCAAGTACATCCACAGGAACAACGTCAGCATGCCCAGTGCCGCCAGCCACACCCGAGGACCTGAGCAGCAAGTCAAAGGTCAGTGCGAGGCCTGCTGGCCACGACCACCGTCAGCAGCACGGACCAGGGGCTGTGTGTCTGGTCTTCACGCAATCTCAGATTTCCTGGGTCTGCTCCTTGGATGAGAAAAGTTCGATGTGGGATGGCATGGGTAGTGGTGATCCGCGGGCAGTTTTTTAACATGCATCAAGATTTGGAATGGAAAAATTAGGACAAAATTTCCCCAAAGCTTTTTCATTTATCTTGGAGTCTAGAGCAGTGCTGTCTAATAGAATTTTCTGAAATAACAGCAATGGTCTATATCTACGCTGTGCAATATAGTAGCCACTAGTCACATGTGGCTGTTGAGGGCTAGAAATGTGCCTGGTGCAGCTGAGGAACTAAATTTTTACTTCTCCTGAATATTAATTAATTTAAATGTAAATAGCCAAATGTGGCTAACATATTGAAGAGCACAAAACTAGGGTATCTTACAGCCTGGGAACAAGACATGGTCCATTTAAGAGAATCATAAAACCAAGTTCTAATTCTGGCTTTATTACTCATTACTTAAGCTTTGAAAACTTCAGTTTTCTTATTTAAAATTGAAGGAGGGTGTCTAGACTCTTACCGCTCAAAATGTGGTCCCCATATCAGCAGCATTGACATTACTTGGGAGCTTGTAAGGAACACACAATCTCAGGCCCCACCAAAACCTACTGAGTCAGAACCTGCATTTTGGCAAGAGATCCCCCCATCCCACCCCAACCAGGTGATTTGTGATACATAAATTTAGATAAGTAGACTGGTTGAGATAGTCTTTAATATCTCTCTGAATTCCATAAAGTCTGTAATCATATGAAATAATCAGTAACCTTTAAAAATTGCTTATTAGCTGACCACGTGAAGCTTAAATTATTATCAGTGGAATCAGCTTACTCTGGACCATGCAGAAATTAGCCTTTGAGTGAGAAAAGAATTTAACAAATGTCATCTTGACGCAGCAGAGAAAAACAACCCTGGAGATGGAGGCTAGGGACAGAACCAAAACTGACTTGGAGTGAGGAGTGGAAACAGGCTCAGAGAGCTGCGGGGTTGACAGTGGGAGGCGCTGATCGGCTTTAGGAAAAGCCCCCTCCCTGCTCAGAGAGCTCAGGAGGTGGGAAGATCAGAGGCCACTGGAAAGAATTTAACTTAGGAATCAAAGTTCCCTACAGAGAAGAGAGAAGTCGGGTTCCCTTTTTAAATGTGCTACTCTGTTTGCGGTCAAGGGACCCTGTGGGCAGCTGGCATTGTGTCACCCTCCCATTCTTGCACATTTCAAAGCATATGTTCTGACTTCCAAATGCGGGCAGGTGGCAGCTGCCTGCTGAGAGAGCACACGCCCCACCTACACCTCAGTGTGCTAAGAGTGGCAGGAACCCAGAGAGAGGAGGATGTGCTATGACTCCTGACAGGGAGGGCAAGTGGGTGCCCACAGGAAAGCTTTCAAGAAGGGGGAAAAATGAAACCTGAAACTCTTTAGGATTTTTGCCTGATCTGGGTTGATTCTCTCAGCCGTCATAGAGGGAGCTGCAATGAGCAAAGCTCTGACTAGGAGACCGAGACTAAAGAACATCCAGGTTCTCACTCTCTTTGTCCGATATTGAAGCTTCCACCTTAGCAGGGTGGAATATCCTTTTTCTTTCCACCTGCCGCCTGGACCCAAAGCCAGTGCCACTTATTTTAAGTTTTTGTTACAGGAGCAATTATTACGCATAACAACCCAAAAATTCAGTGGCATACAACTGTAAGCATTTATTGTTCACGTGACTGTGGGTTGGCTGGGGGTCAGCTGTCTTGGCTGGGCTTAACAATGCAGTTCTGCTTCAGGCTGCGAGTCTGGTTGGCTTGGCTCCTTCACTGTGGTTTGGGTTCTTGTCTGCTCTATGTGTAATGATTCTGGGACCTCGGTTGAAGGGATGACCGTTACCCAGGAGAACTTCTTGTAGTGGTGATGGCAGAGGTACAAAAGGGAAGGTCAAGTGCAGAAGCACACTTCAAGCCCCTGCTCCTGTCGTATCTGTTAACAACCCATTTGCCATAGCAAGTCACATGGCCGAGCCTAAGGTCAGGGATGAGGAAGTACACTTTGTCTCTTTGGGGAGGAATTAAAAAGTCCGGGCCGGCCCCGTGGCTTAGCGGTTAAGTGCGTGCTCTCCGCTGCTGGCGGCCCGGGTTCAGATCCCGGGCGTGCACTGACGCACCGCTTCTCCGGCCATGCTGAGGCCGTGTCCCACATGCAGCAGCTAGAAGGATGTGCAGCTATGACATACAACTATCTACTGGGGCTTTGGGGGAAAAATAAAAAAAAATTAAAAAATAAAAAATAAAAAATAATAATAAAAAAAAAATAAAAAGTCACATGATAAAGGTATAGTATCATAAAGGTGGATAATTGGGACCCTTAAAATCTCAGCCTCAGGGAAGAGAGACAGATTTTTGTCCCTAGAGAGCCAGACTTCTGGGTGCATTAAAAGTACACAAAATCAGTAAAACCTTCTAAGTACAAGCACTGCAGTTTGGGTTGTGTCCTTTTTGTAAAGCATGGTAACTTATGCTTTCCAGCCCCTGTATCTCGGGAGACCAGATGGCTAAGGACTCAGGCTCTGAAGTCAAACAGCTCCACCCCTTCTTGTCTGAATGTCCCTGGGCAAGTTACCCATCCTCTCTAAGCCTCAGTTTCTTCATCTGTAAAATGGAGATAATAATGGTGCATGCATCATCGGGTATTGTGAACATACGTGCCTGCCACATAATGAGTGCTTAATAAATATTAGTTTTTTATATCATCATTATTGTGTATTTTATTAGTAATATAGTTAGCAGAAGGCAGACATAATAGAAAAGGAATTTGTTTGCTTCAAGCATAGAAGGTATTATTGAAACACTTAGGAAACCTACCTATGTAGCCAGCTGCTCCTGGAACAACAGGAGAAGGAAGGAGGGAAACGGCATGGATGAACACCTCCCATGGCTCACTGCGGTGCTATGTGCCTTGTGCATATCCTCACACTTAACCATTGTTAGAGGTAACGCCAGCACAGCTTTCAGCTTTTCTTATGATCAGATCCAAAAAACAGGGAGATTTGGGCCTAGAGACAGGATTCCAACACCGCGTCCCTATGCCCACGGTTTAGAAGGTTTAAAATTGAAGCTCTGCTGTTAAAGTGCTGTGCACAGCCTCTTGTACAGGGTAGAGAGGGTGGCGCATAACGCGGGTCATCCGTGCGGCTACCCCAGTCCTCACGCCACCATTCCTCTCGCGCCCTCTCCTGGAACTCCTCAGGAATGGCTGGGATTCTGGTCAAGTCCGTTCGCTCTTCCATTGAGTTAGTTGTTATGTTAGGGACTGACACTTCCTAAGGTCTCTTACTATCAAGGACTAACTTTGGTGTGAAGAAAATCAGGGTCACTTTTAAGTCCCCCTGGGGACATACTCTTCCTCCCTTACTCGATGGAACCTCATCAACAAACTCTCACCCTAGTTTCCCAATCTTGCTCCCCTCTGGGAAATTCTCTCTGGACCAAGCTTTTGCTCCCTTGACTCTGATGGGGAGGCTTGAAGGTCATGGTTACCCGGCACCTGGGACACAGGGCTGAAATGGCTGGTTAGATTTGTTCAGGGCCTTCCATTGACCAGCGCTCATCTCCTCTGCCCTGCAGCCATCTTGAGCGAGCTCTTACAGAGGGAGAATCGCGTCCTACACTTCTGGACCTTGAAGAAGCGGCGGTTAGACCAGTGCCAGCAATACGTGGTGTTTGAGCGCAGTGCTAAGCAGGTGTGTTCAGAGCTTTCCCTGGCTTTGCCTCAGTTCTGGGGACTACACAGATGCCCAGATGCCAAGACTTGGGAGAGTCCAGAAGCGGGGCATAGCAGCAGACAGAGTAGAGATGGGAGGTGGGATGAAGAGAGGAAGGAGAACAGGCCGTCACTTACCAGTCCTTCAGCCTTTACCAAGCACTCTTCAGAGTTTGGTCCCCGGAGTTGGCAGGAGAGGCTGGGCGCAGATTACCCCTAACTCATGGATGATACTGGGCCTGGCCTAGGAGAGTTCCCAGTCTAATGGACAAGACACTTTCTCTTTGCTGGTGGGATGTTCCAAGTGTAACAGGGGAGGGCTCATTCATAAAATCGGCTTCCAAGCTTATACTGATTGAATCGTGCCAGCATTTCTTGGGTCCATCACGCTGTCCCACACCTCAAACCTTCATTATAGCATGGCATGTTTTCCTACTCACAGCTGGCTTTGGGGGGACTGGATGTGTTGTTTCCTCCCACAGGCGCTGGACTGGATCCAAGAAACAGGTGAATATTACCTCTCAACACATACCTCCACCGGAGAGACCACAGAGGAGACTCAGGAACTGCTGAAAGAATATGGGGAATTCAGGGTGCCTGCCAAGGTAGGAAGCATCCCGGAGCCCTCCCTAAATCCACTCAGCACTCCCCAGTCTGGCCAATTTCACATTGCGGAAGGGAGAGCAGCCTCTGTTCACAGAAATGCTAACCACAGTGGCAAGAGGGAAGCACGGGTAGGGTTGTTTCCTTTGAAACCTGAAGACCCAAAGACTTGCAGGTGCTGCGTAGAATGTCTTTATACAGGAAGTCATACACTGTGCTTCCAAATACTCATCTTCGTGCTCCAGGTTCTGGAATCTGCTGTATTCTTGTAGACCAAATAAGGCAAAGGAATGTAGTCATGTGAAATGCATGTTGTATGTGTGAACATCTGCACCTAGCCACATATTCTTGAAATTTGAATGGCTTGGGAAGCTCACCTCATGGGAAGGGCCAATGGCTATGGGTGGGTTCACAAAGCAGGTGAGTTTATTTCCTGAGCTGACTACTTCCATCCAGCCTCAGACCTGCAAATGAGCCAGGCTGGGGTGTCAGAGGAGCAAAACGTGCACTGTTGCACATACCACACACCCTCGCACCCTTATTTACAGAGACAGAGAATGTTTTCACAGCCAGGATTTGATCTGAGGACCCTTGGGTTTCAATGAAAATCCAATCTGTCTCAGCTCCCTCTTTGTAGCATCCTTGTCCCTCACACTGGGCTCCCTGCCATGGAGGAGCCTATCTTGGCGTCACTTCCATACATGGCAGATGCTCTTCCCAAGGTGAGAGCTGCTTTTGTAGGAGTCACTGGAGGAACACATTACTGCCCATCCTACCCAGAGATCCCTCTGGCACTACGGCAAATGTTCCTCTAGTTTGCTGCAACAAAATTAGGCCCTTAGCCTCATTCCTGAGCTGATATTTCAGAAGTGGTTATCTACTTTATGAATCCTATGCTATGAACTCTTGTTAGTGGGGAGACTTCCCAGGCATCCTTGGGGCTTTTGGGTGAAAAGCTGTGAGTTCAGATAAGAGACTCATTTCCATAGCAGCTAGAGCAAACAGCACTAGGAAGGTGGCAGATGCACAGAACCCTTTTCAAATCCAAATGAAAATGGCTTTTGAATTGCCCACTTTGTGTGTATCTGCCCCTTTCCAAATAGTGCCAATAATGAACCATTAACAGGCTGAAGAGTATGAGATCCTCTGGTGTTCCTACCCACACAGGATGGATCGCAGCAGATACCCAGAACTTCCTAGGGTCAGAGTCTGTCCATAACTAAAGTGAAATTGTAGAGAACTATGTAGTCAATTTAATTCACCCTTCCTTTACAATCTTCCTCCTATCTTTCTCCTCTTTTCCACTCATATTATTACCACCCTAAGCTGTAGTAGCTTTCTAATTGGGTTCCATGCTTTTGGCCTTTCCTTCCCTCCAGTCCATCCTCCTCTTCGTTGCCATTCATTTTTAAAACACTACTTGGGTCATATTACCGCCTAGCTCAAAAACTTCAATGAATCTCCACTGCCTTCAGGCTAACACTCAACAGCCTCTGCAGCGGCACCAGCTTCCCTCCCTGGCTTTATCTTCAATTATTATTTTATGCACATTTTATGCTCCAGCTAAATGGATATATTTTCTTACCCTCTGAGGGATACATCATATACTTCCTTGTCTCTGTACCTTTTCTCTACCATTTCTCTGCCTAGAACATCGTTCCCTTCCCTCTAGTCTGTACTTTTTAAAAGGAGCCCACATCTCCACTTCAGTGCCTCCTCCTCCGGGACCCTGCCTGCATGCCGGGATCCGATCTGGCCCATCCCTGCCCTACAGCCCTGTTGTCTGTATAACCCTTAAGACACTAGGCATGGACCGACCTGCTCTCCAGTAATCTGTGTGCAGTGTTGTCTCCTATGTGAGCCAGCAAGATCCCGAAGGACAAGAACCACGCTTTGTTCACTTACCTGACTGTTTCTTATGCATTGAAGGGAGGTCACAAACATTTGTGAACATAAGGAAAAAAGAAATTTGAGTAGATTTGAACCACCCCCACCCCAAATCTATATTTAATTCTTTTACTTTGGCTATCTCAGTTCTCTGTCTTAACTATTTCTGTTAATGGGGTTTCATTCTCCCATCTATCATGTTCTAAGTCTCAGGGCTACTTGCTATTAGAATATCTACAGGATAACAAATCCAGCCGAGGAGCTTCTGATGAAAGGCGACAGCCTCCTGCTCCACCCCAGCCCCACTTCACAGAGGCATCTTTTCACCAGCCATCTTTGGTTTTAATCTTTATAACCAGTAAAATGAATTTGAAATGGAAATCAAATTGACCTTAAACCACAAGGGAGTAAATATAGTGGACCTCATGATTGAACAAGGCAATAGAGTATATTGAATTATTATACTCTGCTCCAAAGAAACAGATCAAGGAGGAGAAACACTGAATATAAAAAGGTACTTTCTATATAGCAATCCACAAATGTAAGTATAAAAATAAGATAAAGAGAATTTGGGTGAGGATAAGAGGAAAACAAAATTTTCCTGTGGTGGTATGCTGTAGACAATCCAGTTAGAAGAATACAAATGATATTTTCCTATTGTAGGTTTCAAAATTTATAAGGAGTCAAGGCACACGGTGATAGGAAAGCTTAATAATCTTGACATGTGGAAGAACTCCATTTCTTCTAAAAGCAAAACTTAAAAAAATTCTTCTGTTCTTCTTTTTTTCTAATTCAGTGGTTTTTTAGTATATTCACAAGGTTGTGCAACCATTGCCACTATCTAGTTCCAGAACATTTTTATGACCCCAAAAAGAAACCCCATACTCATTAGCAGTCACTCCCCATTCTTGCTCCCCTCAGCCCCTGGCAGCCACTGATCTTTCTGTCTCTATGGATTTGCCTGTTCTGGACATTTCATATAAATGGAATCGTGATGTCATATAATATGTGGTCTTTTGTGTCTGGCTTCTTTCACTTAGCATAATGTTTTCAAGATTTATCCGTGTTGTAACATGTATCAGTACTACTTTCCTTTTATGACTGAATAATATTCCATTGTATAGATATACTAAATTTTATTTATCCATTCATCAGTCAATGGACATTTGAATTGTTTCCACTTTTTAGCTACCATGAATAATGTTGCTGGGAACATTTGTGTACATTTTTTGGTGTGAATCTATGTTTCAATTCTCTTATGTATATACTTGGGCATGGAATGGCTGGGTCAAATGGTAACTCGTTGTTTATGAGGAACTGCGAAAGTGTTTTCCAAAGTGGCTGCACCATTTTACATTCCCACCAAGAACGTATCAGAGTTCTGACTTCTCCACATCCTCTCCAACACTTGCTATCGTCTGTCTTTTTTATAGGTCCATCCTGGTGGGTAGAAGTGGTATCTCATTGTGGTTTTGGTTTGCATTTACCAATGACTAATTATATTGAGAATACACTTTTTAAACTGTTAATTTTATCTCTGAAAGTAAAAGAAGCTATAGGATAAACTGGACTTAATTCTTCTTAACAAGAGAGAATTAAGTCATAATGAAAGTGACTGGAGCCTTAGCTGGACTAAATTATGTCTTAGAATTTAACACAAAAAGGGAACACTGGGCTTGTCAGATAGGCATTTTAGACCGAGAAAAATAGAATCTAAACAATTCACATTAAAGTTGGACGTAATTCTGTTTCAGAGATTCTTAAGAGGAATATAGCTCACATGTGGTGGAAATTTTTGAAAGGTTTAGTTTTTCACGTATAATGACAAACTCTCGCCTGTGGAATGAATCTGGAGATATATCTCAAGAGGATCATTTACCCACACAGAGAGCCCAATAAGCTCGTATCTACAAAGAATATATCAATAAGTACAAGGAATATCAACAATGAAAGCCAAACTGGAAGGTTATAATGAGATTATAAGAATAATGTCGAGGACGCTAAATCTTAAAGACTTGTGAAATGTGCTAAAGACACTAAAAGGGCTTTTTTAAATCTATGTTTAGAGGAAGGCTCGCTGATTAGGGGAAGATGGTATAATATTAACTGATCAAAGGAAGGAAGAGAAAGAAAGAAAAAAAGAACTGAATGCTTCTTTTTTATCTCTGTCTTTTCCAACAGATAACATAAAATTCAAAGTGGAAAGGGCAAAACGTACATTAGGGGACACATGAAGCCCCAGATAAGTGAGGTGTCACTTCCAAATTCCCAGATGAATTCTGTTCCCCAAAGGCTCCCTTTTGTCCACAAGATCATGTTCATACCTCTGAACCTAACATTCAAGACTGTCTACTGTCTGACCCCCACTTTATCAGTCCATATAAGTTACTCTCTTTTGGTGGTAAGATTTGAGTTTCAAACTGGCTCAAGTTATAAAGGGGAAAGGATATTGTATGGCTATAGGTGGAAGTAAAGAAGATAGAAGCTATATGGCTGGACCTCCCAGGAGCCCAGGAAAAGCTAAATGACTCAGCCTTATTGGAAAAACAAGAAATGTGGCATAGTGTCACCTCTAGAGATGAAAATTGGGATGTCACCCAAGACCAAGGGCAGTTCCAGCAGCCACATTATCTAGTCATCTCATCACAGGGCATCAGGGATACATTACCTCCATTCAGCTTCCCCTCTCTTCTCCTCTCTACTGTCTATGTTTCCACTTTTACTCTGCAACCAACTACCCACTTCCCTATTGCTGAAGTTCAAATCCCCAGAGAAACCACCCCAATCAGCTCAGTATGTTGGCACTGTCTCTCTTTAGACAGAGCTTTTAGGCCAGGACACATCAGAAGTCGCTAGCTGCATATTGATGGGCTGCCCTTGTGGGACAAGTTTTTACCTCTGATCTCATCAGCTGTGGCCAGGCATGTGGCAGGTCACATGGTGCCACCATAGCTGCCCTTGCATAAGAAATAGTTTCAGACTGCTCTCAGCAAGGGCCATTGGGCTTGGTTGGCATCCAGTTTATGGGCCAAACTTATCATCTAATTCTTTTCAATAGAAACCCTCAACTCTTGCTGGTCTATCTTTACTCACCTCCAAACGCAAGATTTACTCACTCATTCACTCCTTCATTTAGTCAACATTTATAATATGCTTACCATTTTCTAGACATTGGAGATACAAATGAATAAGATATAATGCTTATCTTTTAGGAGTTCATGGTCTAATGGAGGAGATAAATAAATAACTCAACATGATACGTGCTGAAGTAGAGGCATTTCTTCTGTTTTCAGGGGGGAAAAAAAAAACCTCTAAATAAGATAGAAGTCCTTCTCAACCAATTCCTAATGCTATTATTCTTTGCCTTTTCATGGCTAAGGAGATGTTTCTCCTGCCCTCACATCCATCTTCTTTCCTTCACATCAAAGCTGGTCTGGGCCCGTGTCTCCCAGCCCTGGGTACCAGCCCACTGTCCTATGGTGGGTGAGGCTAGGGAGTGGTGAGTTGCTGGAGAGCTGGAGTCTGGTCTCCCTGGCCTTGTGGCAGGCCAGGTCCTCTCTGCTTGCCTCTCTAGCTGGAAGCTGTCCCTCTCTGGCATTTCTTGGGAGGGTCAGTCTCGTGGGAGGGGCTGCAGATGAGCCTAGAAAGGAAAGGGAGGGTGAGGATGGTGGAATAAAGAAAGAAAAGCTCTTCTGTCTTTCCTGTTGTTGCTCCAGTGATTTTCTGTCCCAGTTTCCGTCAGTTGTCTAGGCTGTAGAATGGTCCAAACCTTGGACCTACTTTCTTCCAGTCAAAAAGATAATTTTACTTCTTAAAATATTATTTAAATATTCTTCCCTTCCTTTTAAAATCTATCAGGCTCCCCTGATAGATTTTAGTTTCGAAACCCAAACTTAAGATAAAATATGAACAAGTGTTTACTTGTTTGAACATTCCTTCCATTTCCATATCTTACCCAACATAAGTCCCACCCCCCTTTCCTGCCCTGCCAGCCCACCTTCATTTTTTCCCATTTTAAAACTCCTATACGGTTAACTCTACATACTTCTCATTTTGACATTCAATTACATAATTCTCTGAGTTATTTAACTACTCTGTGTGAAAATCTTTTTTCCTTTAGAGATTATAGACTGGAGGAAATGAGTATCTTTTTTCTTCTTTTGTTTATCCCCCAAGCCCATCCCCACAGCCCTGTGCACAGTGGTGTGGACAGAGTAGGTGTTGAACAAACTCTTGCTAGAAATGAAATTAACCCAGCACACATCAGAGCTCCACCTTATTTAGCCTTCTAATGGATACCAGCTTCATTAACTCTTCTCTTTCTCTCTAATGGAAACTAAAGACAAGATTCTGGTGGTGAAAGGGACAGAGTTTACTCTTAAATCTGCTCGTTGGATTTCTTTAGATCCTAGAATATGCCAACCTACTGTTTAGAAAGCCTACTTCAGGTTGGTACAGTGAAGAGAGAGAACTAGGAACTATGGACCAGAGGCAAACAGGCTCTGTCACTTACAGGTGGTATGAATTTGGACAAGCCCTCAGCCTCTCTAAACCTCAGTTTTTCTTATCTATGGTTCAGAGACCCATACCACCTCCCTCCACCTACCTCCTAGGGATGCTTTAAGACTCAAATGAGTCTCAGATGTGACATTAACGTACTCTGTAAACTGATGAAGTGCTGTATTAGTGTAAGAGATTCTTACATCAATAATCATAATGGCTAACATTTATTGCTTACTGAGTTCTTACTGTGAGCACTATATTCCAGCCACTGTTCTAAGCCTTCTACATTGTCAGTTCATGCAATGCTTACAACCACCCTACAGTGGAGGTACTATGATGATCCCTATTTTGCAGATGAAGGAAGTGAGGCAGAGAGGGATTAAGTAATGTGCTTAAGACCTCCCAGCTAATAGGTAACAGAGCTGGGATATAAACCTAGGCAGTCTGGCTGTGAGGTATCCGTGGGTGCTATGAAGAAGAAAAGGAGAATGGGGGTGAAGGGCCATGAGAGTAAATGTAATCCAGTAACTTAAGACCATCTTTTGGGGCAGCAAACCAAGGAGAAGGTGAAGCTTCTGATTCAGCTGGCCGATAGCTTTGTGGAAAAAGGCCACATTCATGCCACAGAGATCAGGAAATGGGTGACCACGGTGGATAAGCATTACAGAGACTTCTCCTTGAGGATGGGGAAGTACCGGTACTCCCTGGAGAAAGCCCTAGGAGTCAACACAGAGGTAGGTATGGGGGTCATCCGGCTGGGACATCCTCCTTTCTCATCTCCATCAGCACTATTGCTCTCAATGCCATGGAAGGAAGCAGGGTTTCCAGAGCAGCCATTCTCAGCTGTTGACCCCTGGAGCACTTGCCTTGTGTGGTTTTCTAGTGGAGGGGATGGACCTTGCTGAGCCACTGGCTTCCAGCCCCCATGGTTAGTGCTATATATATGGCAAAACTGGCTGGCCAGAGGTGGATCCTATGGCTACAGAACAGAGTTTTTCTATGTGTAGAGTTAACTGTTGACTTTGAGGACAAAACCCTTTGTCTTGGCTTCATCAGCACCATCTTCCACCCAATTACATTAATCAGCAAATGATTAGAGTCCCCAGTATGTATAATAGGGCTCTTTCAAGAATAAGGGATGCAATTTGTGCAAAGGCTGTTTGACATTTCAACTGAAAAGAGGTACTATTTGCCATGAAGCAAGGGAAGACTGACTTTTAATCTCTTCTTTGTAATAGGGGTCAGTAACCTCTAAATTAAGAGCTAAATACAGCCTGGCAATTTAATCCTGGGATTTCTAATTCTGAAATCTTTAAATAAGTTCATGCTCTGAAGCGGAGCAGACTGGAGAGTGAAGTGATCAAACCACTAAAATTGAGGGAATTAACGTCTCCCCCAGGCTTTAGCCTGGGAGATTTTTTTCTAGAGGTTTCCATTCTATAGAAATGCCAAACAGTGGTTGAAATAAGCAGAGATGGGCAATTAGAAAATTCAGTAATTGTTCTATCATTTAGCTTTCTATTTCTAAGGGAAGTTGCTTTTTTTAAATAAAAATATTTGCTATTGTTATTTTCCCTTGACAAATGAAAATTTTCTTATATCTTTACCAAAGTCCTTGGGGAAATATGACATTAATTATCTAATGTGTTCATTGTTTTTCCCTGCTGTGGATATTAGCCCTGAACACTTGACCTGAACATTTTATATCTTTCTTATTTGTAAAAAAAAAAACAAAAACAAAAAGTGATCCCATGAAGAAGAGTGCTTGTGGGTGGCAGTTTGCAGGATTTCCCCATCTTCTCATCCTTCTTCATTATATCTTTCTGTATTTTTTCCCTCTACCACCTCCCCCAACTCTGATGAGTTGCTTTCCCAAAGCATTTCTAAGGTGACCTCTGCGATCTCTCTGTGTGTAGGATAACAAGGACCTGGAGCTGGACATCATCCCAGCAAGCCTTTCAGATCGTGAGGTCAAGCTGCGAGATGCCAACCACGAAGTCAATGAAGAAAAGCGGAAGTCAGCCCGGAAGAAAGAGTATGTTTTGGGGAGCCTCCACCCAACTAGCAGGCCCCTCATGACTGTGCTTGGTTTTCACTGCCACCTGACCCTTTTGACAGCTTGAGTTGTCCTCAAGACATCTACAGAGGTTGGAATGGACAGACATGATGCCTCCATCCATTTCACTCTTATCAAGAATTATAGGGCATTGGATAGTGGAAGCAATGAACCATGTCAGCCTTACAAACCATTTCTTGGTCACTCTGCTTTCTTTATATTGGTGTTACAAAGTTACACATATCCAGAGATCTTACAAGGGCTTTATGAAGAATATTTTTTCAGATTCCTTTTGGGTAACACTGGAAAAAGTAGTGTGTCCTAAGATTAAGAAGTTCTATGTAGTTGATTTTATCAAAATGAAGTAGGCCTACAGGCCCCTTGAAGCTGAAGACACTGAAGCTGGCCTGCGAAGTCAGAGCTTGTGGTTCATCTGGGGAGGGCATGAGTTTGTTTGGGCTGCTGTAACACACTATGACAAATTGAGTGGTTTACACAACAGGAATATATTGTCTCACTGTTCTGGAGGTTGTAAGTCTGAAATCAAGGTGTTGGCAGGGTTGATTCCTTCTGCGGGCTGAGAGGAAAGGATTTGTTCCAGGCCTTTCTCCCTGCCTTGTGGGTGCTGTCTTCATGTTCATGTGGTGTCCTCCCTGAATATATGCCTATACCCAGTTTTCCCCGTTTTCTAAGGATAGTAGTCATTTTGGAATAGGGGCCCCCCCCACTCCAGTGTGACCTCAACTTAACTAATTACATCTGCAGTGACTCTATTTCTAAATAAGGTCACATTCTGAGGTACTCAGGGTTGGGACTTCAACATGTAAATTTTGGGGGGACACAATTTAGCCCATAACAGGGAGAAAAATGAGGAGACCACACTTGGCCAAATCTTCCTGCTGGGCTCTGTCTGGGACACCGTATAGCCAGAGGAAGGTAAAAGATGGGTGAAAAATAAAACAAAAAGAGGTAGAAGGTAGTGGAGCTAAATTAGGCAGAAATACAGGCAAAACTGCAGGAAGCAGATGAAGAAAAAGGGAGAAAAAGGTAGAAGAATGCCAGAGACCCAAGGCAGTAAAATCAAAGACAACTTTTCAAAGCAAGTCATATTATGTTCCCTCTGGTCTTCCTTCTTTCCTGTTTACCGACCACCTGCAATGTACTAGAAACTTTGCTGAGATGATCTTGTTCAATCCTTGCAACAATCCTGTGTGATCAGCTGCTTTATAAGTAAGGAGTCTGAGGCTTCCAGAAGCGAGTCCTGCTCTAGTAAATGACAAAGTCACAATTCAATTCCTGTTTGTCTGACGTCAAAGCTCATGCACTTTCCACTCTACCAGTAGAGTAGGAATAGTAAGAGAGTGGCTAGTTAACTCCTGCACAAGGGAATTTTTTAAATCAATACTTTAATTTTAATAGGAAAGCCTCTGCTAGAACAATGTATTGCTTTAAGGAAAATCTCACCAAGAAGAATGTCCAGGAACAGATGCTGCTCATTTGACTATTTCTTGTGAAATTTCCGACAGGGGACACTTTGGGGACAATCTTTCTGAAAATTTTCATGTGATGAAATACCTGGAAATAGGTGTTCTTATTATGAATTACCATGAAAAACTGACATAGAAAATCTAAAATAAATGTATAAATTTATACTTTGTGCCAAATTAGATATTATTGCATATCACGTCAGCTAGGAAGCACCGTTTCTAATAAAAATTTGTAAAAGAAAGAAAGCGAAGTAGGTACACTCCAGTGAAGCTATGCATCATAAGTTTAACAACTGCCCAAGGGCGTTGTGTTATTTAGGGGCCCAAGGAGGGGGGAGCCCTCTCCTTGATGTGTAATACAAGCTTCTCTTTACGGGAGCCTGAAGAGCAGTCACTTCACATTGTTAACTTGTGCTATGCTTGTGATCACATGCCCAGCTTCATGCACATCAGTTCGTGATACAAATGAGCCCCATTAGAAATCGTGTTGGGGCCGGCCCGTGGCTTAGCGGTTAAGTGCGCACGCTCCGCTACTGGCGGCCCGGGTTCAGATCCCGGGTGCGCACCGATGCACTGCTTCTCCGGCCATGCTGAGGCCACGTCCCACATACAGCAACTAGAAGGATGCACAACCACGACATACAACTATCTACTGGGGCTTTGGGGAAAAAAAGGAGGAGGATTGGTAATAGATGTTAGCTCAGAGCTGGTCTTCCTCAGCAAAAAGAGGAGGATTAGCATGGATGTTAGCTCAGGGCTGATCTTCCTCACATAAAAAAAAAAAAAAGAATAAACTGGCAGTGTCCAGGGGTTTGATCTGATCTCTTCCAGGTCTTCATCGTAGACTTTCTCAAGCTCAGTGGTCAAAAAAAAAAAAAAGAAATCATGTTAAGTGTATAGGGTAGCCTAGGCCAGAGGTCAACAAACTATGGCCCACAGGCCAAATCTGACCCATCACCTGTTTTATATAGTCTATAAGATAAAATTTATTTTTTATAGTTTTAATGGTTGAAAAATGTCAAAAGAAGAATAATATTTTGTGATGTGAAAATTAGATGAAATTCTTTTGTGTCCGTAAATAATGTTTTATTGGAACACAGCCACACTAATTTTTTTTTGACATATTGTCTATGGCTCCTTTCACACTACAAGAGCAAAGTTGAGTGGTTGTGGCAGAGACTGAATGGCCCACAAGTATTACTATCTAGCTCTTTACAGAAAAAGTTTGCTAACCCCCCAGTCTCAGTGGTGGTGTCTTGGGCATCTGTTCCTGGCTTTTAAACCCGATTTAACTTATGGTACTGCAGGCTGTTTGGGTATATGTCAACAATTCTCCTGAACAGAAATCATCATTCTGGGAGCTGTAAGAGAAATGTAGGAGGCTGGGATTCAAGCTCTCTAGTTGGTGAGAATGAATGTGAATGGTGCTGCATGCTTGTGCACACATGCAAACACACACGTGCAATTGAAAACATGCATATCAGTACAGAATCACAAAATGGTAGAACTGGGGTGGAAAAGGGAGAGAGGATATGGAACTAGCTGAGCACAAACAGGCTGAAGGGATGCAGAGCAAGTGATCAGAGTGACAGGGACTCAGAGGCAAGGAGTTTTGAAGAAAGGAAGAGACGTATGTTGGTAAAGTAGAAAAATAGGACATTCAAGAATGTCATAGGGCCGGCCCCATGGGTTAGCGGTTAAGAGTGCGCGCTCCACTGCTGGCGGCCTGGGTTCGGATCCCGGGTGCGCACCGACGCACTGCTTCTCCAGCCATGCTGAGGCTGCGTCCCACGTACAGCAACTAGAAGAATGTGCAGCTATGACATACAACTATCTACTGGGGCTTTGGGGGAAAAATAAATAAAAAAAAAAAGAATGTCATAAATGCTGAGGTGGTGAAGTGAAGTTTGAAGGAAGGGAGGTGCTGTATCTCTAACCTACTGAAGCCCATTTATTTCCTTCTAGATTCATTATGGCTGAACTACTCCAGACAGAGAAAGCTTATGTAAGGGACTTACACGAGTGCTTAGAGGTAAGTCTTGCAGTATTCAGTTCACAGCTGTATTAGAAAAATGACATCCTCACCCGTGTCAAGTCCTTGAGAGGAACTCAGTGCTCTTTGTCTTCTCTCGGAGCTTAACAAATAAAAAGCCAACCAGAGGAACTCCTCCCAGAGTCAATAGTAATTGCATGGGAGTTTAAGGTGCTTTTGAAAAGAAACTTCTCTCAGACTGGAGCTAGACCTAGCAAAAAAAGCTTATAAGATACTTGAATTCCACATAAAAACCATGACACAGTGAGTAAACTCAAGTTGAGTCTGAAATCTGCATCCTCCCCCAACACACCCTCAAACACACACACATTTGATAAATAAGAAGTGTGTGGAGTTTGTGCTCTTGCCAAAGTTCACGATGTGAGTTTCCCAGCAATAGTTCAAGATAATGGAACATTCAGGTTTTGTTTCTTTCCTTTCTGCTTTTTTGCCATCTCCCTTTTTACACTCTACGTGCATTCCCAGTCTGTCTTGCTCCACAAGTTTGAAGGCCTGTTTGTTTTGTCTGTATTTCATGTGGCAGTACTGCCAGTGATGAAACTGTTGCTGTCTTACAGACCTACCTGTGGGAAATGACCAGTGGTGTGGAGGAGATCCCCCCGGGGATCCTTAATAAAGAGCATATCATCTTTGGCAACATCCAGGAGATCTACGATTTCCATAACAAGTAGGTTGGTGGAGAGTTTCAGTGGAGCACCTTTAGGGCCATAAATACCCAACAACAGGGCTTCCCAACAAGTGGATTTAAGCTGAGTGGTAAATCTTGCCTGGTAAAGTATTACCTGTTAAATTTTCTATGTCAGTTGCTGTCAGACTTCTTTCTCACTCATCTCTCTTTCTCTGCAATTGTCCAAAAAGAAATTTCTAGTGGAGAGTGAAGTCAAGTATTCAACAGTGTCCCTCCCCTACCCACCAAGTTCTCCTTAGGGACCTGACTGGCAACATCTTCATACGAATGATAATTAGGCTTTGCGGAAATAAAAGTAGCTTCTCCTCACTAAAACTATGGGGAATCCTGACATTAGAATTCATCTGAGCCAATCCATTCTACCTTGTGGGCCTTAGGTTTCAAATTCCATTGAAGTTTTCTTTCAGCCTAAATATTTCCTCCATCCCCAACTACTCCATCATCCCCACCTTCAACCAAAACAACAATAACATAAAGAAATAAATAGATAGATAATAGATACTCAAAATACCCAATGGAATCCATTTCTTGACAGCTTATAGGTGAGAACATCAATCGACCCTCTGTTTTGTTGAAATAAGTAGAACCATAGAGCCCTAAAACCTCACAACTCATTCTGTCCAGCTCCTGACTTTATAAGTGTCTTCTCCACAGCAGACTAAACAACCTGTTCTGTTGTTAACAGAGGGTCATCAAGAATATTGGTTGATTAGTTATATAACCAAGTAATGGAAATAACTCAGTTTCCAAAATTCAAATAGAAGGAATCTCAAGACACAAGAAATAGTGTTTGCATAAAGTCCTAGAGCTCTCTCAGGACACTATTGCAGAGAAGGGCTCAGAGGTAGAGGTTCAGTGTTGTAGGATACAATTCAGAGGAAGTCCTGGAGTCAGGCTAGTCAAGGCTTTTACTGAGTTAAGCAGTCATGCTGGAGATGCCAGCTCCAAGAGTTCCTGAGGAGGCCACGTGTACAGGTGTAGCAGCCACGCTGAGGCAAGACTCTAGAACAGCACTGTCCAGTAGAGGTTTCTGCAATGATGGAGATGTTCCATGTCTGGGCTGTCCAAGACAGTAGCCACTAGACATGTGTGACTACTGAACACTTGAAATGTGACTAGTGCTACTGAGAACTGAATTTTTAACTTTATTTAATTTAATAAATTTAGATGGCAAATGGCTACCATATTGGACAGCCCAGCTCCAGAAAATGAGACCTCAATATGGCCGTTTGCTAAGAATGACTAAGAGGCAAGCAAGGGTCGGGTGTAAAATATTCTGAGTTCTAAAAGGGTTAAGTAAGGGGTGGAGAGTCACTCCTCTCTTGTCAACTCCTGATTATTAATCCCCTGTTGTGTCATCAAATGGCATCAGTTTAAAGAGAACATAAAATATTTAGCTCCCATGACATGTTAACCTTGTCAAATTCTGAAAGCAGTAAGCTCTAGGGGGAAAAAAATCCTTCTGACTTTCTGAAGTACTTAATAAAATTTCCTAGTCTTTTTTTTTATCACAAATTTTAACGCTCTCCATTTGGTTTGTCTGGAAATCTCCAGACATAGAGATATTCTCTCCTTATGCCTATTTAATAAGATCCCAATGAAGCTATTCTTGACCACTGATCCCAAATTCGGTCATCTGCGCCCAGCTCAGCATTATCCCATCTCCCCCAGGATATCTGAGAAGACATGGGACTGGTAAGCAGTATGTCATGTCACTGTACTTTTCTGATTTATGATCTTGGGATTTAGCCAACGAGTCCTGCTTTCCCCATATTCTTACCGAATTGACTAAGCACAGAAATCTAGAGATCACAACATGCACTTCTTTTGAGCCCTGCTTTGGCCAAATAAAAGTATAAAGGAAAGAATATTCATTTCAAAATTGACCAATTCTAACAAAATTTCTAGCATAACCATGCCTCTTATTCTGGTTTCATGATATCACTCTAGTAAGCCGTAGTAAGCAGTTTGGTAGTTTTTTAAATAGCTGAAAATCTACCTACCAGTTACAAAATACAGTTCTAAGAAACTCTTTATAAAAAGTCAAGTTAAGCCATATGGAATGCTGCGTTCTGTACAGGAATAAATTCAATTATCAAGAACACAGCTACCCAGCAAATGTTACTTATTTATAACATTATAAAGAAACAAGAAGAAAATAAAAACCAGCCTCTGAGCAACCAAAAGATGTATCACAAAGATAAAGTTCCTGTCTTTTCATAGAAACGCCTTTCTATCCTCCGTAAAAGCCACTTTACTGCGTGGTTAAATTGTTTCCAACCCTAGCAATTTAGAAGCAGCAAATAAGAATTAAGAACATGAGCAAGTAGTTTGATACCAGCAGCATAAAGTAAAGCCTGACAAGAAGGAAGACAGACAAACTGCAAAAAAAAATAGGCAAAGAACCCCAAAAATCATAGTGGTCAAGGGCTACTCAGTATTGAGTAGGATATTGAGTTGGGATTTCCTATATCCCAACATGGAGCCCAATACAGCCACTGTATTACAGTATGGCATAATTATTGATGTTAATAATAACCCTGAATCATTAGTATGTTCTGCAATAAAAAGCAAGGAACTCTGTAATGCATTTAGAAAGCTATCCACCAATTTAATGTTTTAAATTATCCACACTTTAAGGGAACATCCAAGAAAATCAAGCTGTATATTAATTCCCTGCAGGATCTGGAGGGCTAAGGCTTTACTCATAATGTATGCTTTCTACTTATGCCACACAAATTTTGATTAATAAAGAAAGCATAATACCTCTAAAATCTCTACAAATAAGAGAGAAAATGGCAACTAAGCCAACTTTGAAACTGCTGGAGCTGTGAACTCTGTAAGAGACTATGTCTTTCACTGCATAACCCCAGTGCCTGGCACACAATAAACCTTAAGTAAATCTTTGTTGGGTGGATGGATGGATGGCTGGATGGATGGATGGCAGACAGGACTAAAAATAGAATTACAGTTTGCAGACTTATGGCTAATGCCATTCAAGTTATAATTCAGTCTTTTATTTGCGTCTCAAGACAGGCAAAACCATTAGGTATGATTTTTTTCCCCATCACTACTGGAATCTTGTAAGCCAACAAAATAATTAAATATCTGAATGAAAGAGTTTCCTAGGAGCTTCTTAATAGAAGGACCATACAATGGTCCAAACACCTGTTTGCTCTCAGGAATACATTTCTGAAATGGTCACTTTTTAACCTGAAAATATCCAAGGGTTCTTTTTAACCCCAATTGTTCGCATCTTTCCGAAGTTACAGTTAAGTGCTATCTAACAGAGACACATACTCCTCTCATTTCTAGTGCATGGCTCAGGTTATCTGCCCGTACTCCGGAGAGAGAGGGAGGTAGGGAGGGAGGAAGACTGGGAGATGGAGAGATTGAGAGGCAGAGGGATTGAGATAGACACTGCCTGGATAACCCAGTTAGCTGAGTCTCTGGGAAATTAGTACCTAGGCCAACGGTGATATGATGCATATGTTAAATATCTCAGCTAGTTAGTATTGATCCTTTTAAATGGTGTCACTTTGAAAAATGACACCCAAGATTAGTTGTGTGTGTGTGTGTGAGAGAGGGCTATCTTAAGGATCTTTGCCTATATAGGTATCGAATGGAGAAACTCGCAAGCACCACAATTTCTATAAAGAAGAACAATTCAATATGTAGAATTTAATACCTACAAGTAGTGATTTTAACACAAATTGGAGGTTTAGGTGGAATGATACTTAGTTTTTACTCTTTACTCTCCCTATTTTCTTATTACATCTCTTTTCTACAGAACTAAATATAAAGATCATGAAACTTATCTCCACAAGAACTAGATCCATTTCTATTGCATTTTGCTAAGTCTTCCAGGGGCACTCAGATAAGATAGTATGTTCCGCAAATAGATCCCCCAAATGGTAATGGTTTTGTAATGCCATCTCCCTGCTTTGACTTACTACAACTTGTAATTCAGCAAAATCATTTATTTTCAGTTTGCCTTGATTATTAGATTTTTAGCTCTGGTAAGGACAGCTGTTTGTTTAAAATGCTCATCACCTTCAGTTAAATAGGAACTTTACTTTTCCCTTTTCAGTGATTTGGAGGTATGGCCGTATGTGAGTCTGAGCAATAACATTTTTATAAAATCTCTGCTGTCAGGGCTGAGGGTCTTCTTCATCATCAAGTACAACCATCTCAGGGCCGGCCCCGTGGCTTAGCGGTTAAGCGCGCGCGATCCGCTATTGGCGGCCCGGGTTCGGATCCCTGGCACGCACCGATGCACCGCTTGTCCGGCCATGCTGAGGTGGCGTCCTGCATACAGAAACTAGAAGGATGTGCAACTATGACATACAACTATCTACTGGGGCTTTGGGGAGAAAAAGGGAAAAAAAAAAGGAGGAGGATTGGCATGGATGTTAGCTCAGGGCTGATCTTCCTCACAAAAAAAAAAAAAAAGTACAACCATCTCCACTTACAGATAAGGACACTGAGACCCCAAGAGGAGCCAGTGCCTTGCCCAATGTGTGACACCCTCTCCTTTAAAGATGAGGCATAGATTCTGGGGATTTAGTGCCCCCACAATCAGTGCTCTCTCCCCTTCCCCCACTCCATGGACCACCAACTGGGACTGCCAGATCTGGTTGGTTTGGTTTATATCTAACTAGCTTCCATGTGGATCCCCAAATTAGAGGAACACTTCAACCCATTTCTTCCACGGGTATGTCATCGAGGTCCTACACCCTTGCAGTGATTACCTGAAATAAGTCAGTTTTCAGCAAGGATTGGAAAGACAAGTGACCAGCAATCAAGGCTAGCTCTCCCTCCTGCGCACTCCCTCTCTCCAGCCTGGCCAGAGCTATGCAGGCCTGAGCTGGGAGCCCTGGCCAGGCCAGGGTCAGCCTACTAGGGGACCAGGTGGCCAGGGTCAGCCAGGAGCAGAGAGTGGTGTGCAGCAGGGGTGAAGACAAGGTGGGCAAAGTGAT